TTCATTTCTTTAAGAGTAAGACAGGCCAGGTGCGGTGGCTCACGCCTGTAATCCTAGCACTCTGGGTGGCCAAGGCGGGAGGATTGCTTGTTGCTTGAGCTCAAGAATTCTGAGACCAGCCTGAGCAAGAGAGAGACCCCCGTTTCTACTATAAGTAGATAGAAATTAGCCAAACAACTACAAAAATAGAAAAAATTAGCTGGGCACAGTGGCATGTGCCCTAGCTACCCAGGAGGCTGAGGCAGGAGGACCGCTGGAGCCCAGGAGTTTGAGGTTGCTGTGAGCTAGGCTGATGCCATGGCTCTCTAGCCCAGACAAGAAAGTGAGACTCTGTCTCAAAACAAAACAAAAAGAGTAAAACAGAGCATCTTGGCCAGGCTCAGTGGATCACACCTGTAGTCCTAGCAACTCAGGAGGCCGAGGTGAGAGAATTACTTGAGCAAGAGTTCAGGGTTACATTGAGATGTGATGGTGCCACTGCACCCAGCCTGGATGACACAGAGAGATCTTGTCTCTTAAAAGTAAATTTTAAAAATGTTTTTAAAAGCATCTTTTAATGTATGTATTTATGAGTTTTTTGTAATTGTTTTGTGTGGCTGTGAACTGTCCACATTATAACCTTTGTCCATTCCCCTATAGGGTTGTTGGTCTTTTTCTTATTGATCATAAAAACTCTTTAAATAATAAATAAATTAGGTTTCCATCACATAGTTTGCAAATATTTCTCCCTGTTATTTGCCTTTTGACTGTTTTTTTTTTTCGGGGGAGGGTGGGGAAACAATTGATCATATCACCCTTTAAGGCCTAAAAAGATTCCCTGACTCTAGCCAAACAAGTATCTTTATCTGGGGGAAAAAAAAGCAGCTGAGAAGGCTGGTGCGGTGGCTTGTGCCTGTAATCCTAGCACCTGGCAGGCTGAGGCGGGAGGATCGCTCATGGTCAGGAGTTTGAAACCAGCCTGAGCAAGAGTGAGACCCTGTCTCTGCTAAAAATAGAAAGAAATTAATTAGCCAACTAAAAATATTAGCCGGGTATGGTGGCACGTGCCTGTAGTCCCAGCTACTCGGGAGGCTGAGGCCGGAGGATCGCTTGAGCCCAGGAGTTTGAGGTTGCTGTGAGCTAGGCTGACACCACAGCACTCACTCTAGCCTAGGCAACAAAGCGAAACTCTGTCTCAAAACCAAACAAACAAACAAACAAAAACAAAACAGCTGAGAAACTATGACTTCTAAGTAAGCCAAGGCAAGACTGGTGAACTTCTTTTCCAAAAAGATCAAGTACAATACAACAAATATCCATCTAATGCCTATAGCAGAATACTTGTGACAGCTCTTTTGCTGTGGTTATGCTTTACTTGCCATTTAATGTTGCTTCTAGAGAGACACCTGGCCAGTAAATCTACCTTAAAAGAGATTTGGAGGGTTGGAATTTGATTGCAGATTACTTTTGTCTCAGGAGAGATAATAAAAAAAGAGCAACTTTTCCTTTGAAGTAGTTTTACACAGAGTATGTGGTTATGGCTTGTGGAATAGAAGAAAAACATCACGACAAAAATTTTGTGTTATATTTAGGTTTCGAGAAACCATTAAGGAGATGGATTCGAGGCACCTTCTTCTGTTCTACCAAGAAGATGATTTTTGTATTAAAAATTCCTTTCATCCTTCTGTTCTACCAAGAAGATGATTTTCGTATTAAAAATTCCTTTCCTCCTTGGCAAAAAAAAAAAAAAAGACAAATCATTAGAATCACTTTATTAACTCTGCTCAAACAGGAAGTTGAGCAAATCAAACCATCAGAGTTACACTGAGTTTTATTCAGTGCTGACAAAAAGCCCAAGAAAGCAAACTAGTGAAGGTAGTTTACAGTTATAGTTATTAGTTTACAGTTGATAAATTTTTTGGAACACCATAAATTTTCTCATGGGCTATTATTTTATGACTTTACAGAATTATCTAAAATAGTGCTTCATGAGCCAAGAGGATCACTTGAGGCCAGGTGTTCAAGCCTGGACAACATAGTGAGATGAGACCCTGTCTTTAAAAAATAAAAATTAGCCAAGTGTGTTGGCATATGCCTGTAGTCCCAGCTACTCGGGAGGCTGAGGCAGGAGGATCACTTGTACCCAGGAGTTGGAGGTTGTAGTGAGCTATGATCATGCCACTACACTCCAGCCTGGGTGACAGAGTGAGACTTTATGTCAAAATAAAAATAAAAATAAAATAAAATATACAATAATTAAATAAAATAAATAAAATTGAAAGTAGTGCCTCACAAAATTTAAAAATTCCCCACTGGCATAAGGGGTCCGAATGGGTATTTCATTATATGTATGTGTGTGTGTGTGTGTGTGTGTGTGTGTGTGTTTAAGTTCTGTAGCACAAAGGAAGGTGTTTCTTATTCTTAACTATATCAGTATTTGGGGAATAAGAAATCAGTAGATTTAGCAAAATTGCTGTCTTTTTATTCTTAGTGTAACAAATTCAGCTAGATTTTTGTGGGAGGCACTTCTGAGATTTCACCATCAAATATAACGGAAGCATTCAGTGTATTTGAAATACATTTATTTTTGCCTTATAAAGAAAGTATCCATCTATTTCTTTTTTTGTTAGGAGTTTCCCCTTTTAATCAGAAATGCATCTTGAGTTTTATTAAAGGACTTTGTAGCATTTGTGAAGATCATATGGTTTCTCTTTACTAGCCTATTAATACCATGACTTAAAGTTATAGGTTTCTGAATATTAAGCTATAGGTTAAGTTTATTTGATTCATTTGTAGGTTTTGGTTGTTTAGAACAATCACAGGCCACATAATATTCTACTTAAAAATTCAGAGTAAAGAATGAGATCTTCATCTGCAAAATGGAAAGTGAAAAAAAAAAAAAAAAAAAAAAAAAAAAAAAAAGAATGAGATCATGCTGTGTGAGTGAAAGCAGAAAGAAGAGCAGGAAGCATGATAACAAAAAGATAAGAACTGTAAATCTATGCTACAACATAGTGCATAGTGGCATGACTTACAATGCATAGTGCCTCTACTGATGATATGTATGGAAAAGACAGTTTTTTTCTTGAATATCCTATGACTTGACCTGATGAAAACATATTCACTGTAGTTTACAAAGGTAAGTATAATCCTGGGAAATTAAAACTTCAAGTTTGAAAATTGATTTGTATTAGCAATATGTAGTCTGTCCTGGTAAAAATGATTATTTTCAGTTATTCTCACTTTATCTACCCCTGCTCTTCTCAAAAGATACAGACTATTTAAATTAAAAACACACACCTTGAAGTTTTAAAAAATCCTTTGTTTTAGCTACTTTAAGAGTTTTGATTTTCATGGGCTATCCAATGCAATGCCAACAATCTCAGCCTTGATAACAGAAGTGATGGATTTAAGAAGCTAGTCATGGTAGGAAGTTTTAGAGGGAAGTATGTCAATTAGGGTATAATATTTACTTCCTTTTTAAATTAAATTCTATTTATGTTTATCCCTTCTATAATTTTGAAAAATAAGCCCTTCCTTAGAGATAAAAAAGTTAAATCAGATGTACAAGTTTTGCCTTCAGGAAAGAATATTAATTTCTAATTAGTGAAATATTTATATATACTGCATTTCTTAGCCTAATGAAAAGTTTTAGATATATTTAACTTTTACTTTTAAAAGATATTTTCTGACATCCAAGGAGAAAAGATAACTTGTGATAATGACACTGGTTGTTTTCTTCTTTTCTGTTATGATAGTTTCAATGCTTGGAACACTAAGTAAATTACATTTGTCATAGTATAATGGTTTGTATGATATTTAATATTTCAAAACTATTATCAACTGCTCAATTAAACAGAAAATTTGTTCAGATTTTTAGAAGGGTTTATTTTATTCAAAGACTGTAAAAACAGTCAGTGATAAGTATAAGGCAGGTGGGGGGGGCCTCGCTGAGAGGAAGCACACCCAGATGTCCACCTGGATAAGAACGTTTCTGCTCTTGGATTCCACAAATACCTCCAGTCCCTCCTAAAATCCCCAGCTCTTCCCGCCAAAAGTCCCTAGCCAGGCCCAAAGGGTATAAAAGGCCTCAGCCCCTTCAAACAGCGGGGACTTCTGGGGTCCCCTCTCTTGGGGCCCCAGAACCTCCTCCCCAAGTGTATAATAAAGCCATGTGGTTTGGCCCCCACCCTTTCTCTCTGTCTTTTCTTTTCGCCACCGCTGAGATACTACTTCCGTTCTCTGCTGTAAAGTGCTTTGATAGTTGTCCCCCTCCCCCTAAAACATACATTCATTGAAAAGGGTTGTTGATTAATTTCTCCCACAGCAATAAACTTAATTTCTTATTACCATAAACCAAATATATATCCATTGTTCAATTTATCTTCAAAATACTTTGACACTTATTTTTGCCATTATGTTTTTTTTTTTTTTTTTGAGACAGAGTCTCACTCTGTTGCCCAGGCTAGAGTGAGTGCCATGGCGTCAGCCTAGCTCACAGCAACCTCAAACTCCTGGCTCAAGCAATCCTCCTGCCTCAGCTCCCAAGTAGCTGGGACTACAGGCATTCACCACCATGCCCGGCTAATTTTTGTATATATTAGTGGCCAATTAATTTCTTTATAGTAGAGACGGGGTCTCGCTGTTGCTCAGGCTGGTTTCGAACTCCTGACCTCGAGCAATCCGCCCACCTCGGCCTCCCAGAGAGCTAGGATTACAGGCGTGAGCCACCGCGCCCGGCCTGCCATTATGTTTCATATTTTTTTAATAGGGAAGAAATGGTGAAGTATGTGTGTTTTATTTATGTCAGTGAGGAAAGTGGAAACGTTGGCTGTTTGTGATAACACTCAACTGACCTGGCCTGTTTCTACATTAATAAAATAAATTTTGCCTAAAAATGAGAAAAAAAAACAAAAAAAAACAACCTAGTCTCAAGAAGGGCAGATCTTATCCCCACTTCCGTCAGGCGTAGCAGGACACCATCGAGCCGTGGTCCTCCAGCATTCCTAGAGCGTAGACAAACGTGCTCCAGAGAGTGGGAGCTGACCCTCCGCAAGGAGCTCAGGTGGTGCTTGAGAGCGTTGGCTCCTCCTGTGGGGCCTTGGACCGCTGAGCTGGCCCTTGGACTGGGCTCTGAGCTGGGGCGGAACTGCGTCCTAGGAGTCGAGGAAGCGGCTGGTTCCCGGCAGGTGCAGAGAAGCCTCCCTGGACGGAGAGGCCGCGCGTAATAGGGATGGGGTTTGGGGTGGGAGGTGTCAGTTCTGGGGCCTACGAGAAGGATGAAGTTGTGGATCAAGTTAACCAGGCACAACTTTCTGCTGCGTATTTTACATCCATTGAACACAATTTTAAATAGGTATTAAAGATAGGCCTGACTGAGAAGATAATATTTGAGCAGATATCTAAAGGAGGTGAAAAGAACTGTGGATTTTGGAGGCAGGGACTTTCTAAGTAGAGGGAACCACAGTGCCAAAGCCCTGAAGTGGGAGCTTGTTTGGCATGTTTGAGGGATAACAAGGGAGACCAGAGTGGTTGGAGGGCAGTGAACAAGGGCAAACTTGTAAGAGATTGGAATGTTGGGGAAGGCGTGTAGAATAAATGAGCACTGTATTGTATAAGGCATTTCGTCATTTCTTGGTGTGAGTCTTTAAGGGATTTTGAGCAGAGAAAAATCATGATCTGACTTATGTTTTAAAGCATCTTTACCTGGGAACTCATGATAAGAATAGATTGTAAGGGGGTCAAGAATGGGATAAGGAAAACTCAAGAGTAATTCCAAAAAGTTGTACATAATTCAGATGGGAGATACGGATATCATGGGCCAGTGGTCAGATTATTGATCTGCTTTGAAAGTAGGGTCAACAGTATTTGCTCCTGGATCAGATGTAGGATGTGAAAGTAAGAGAAAAGACAAAGATAAATCCAAGGTTTTTGACCTGTGGATATGAGAGAAATTGGAGGAAAGATCTGAGGTTCAGTTTTGGGACCTTGTGTAAATTCTTCATCTCTCCATGTCTCAGTTTCCTTTTTAGTACAACGAAGTTAGTGATAGTATCTTCTTTATAGGATTGTGTGAGGATTAAATAAATTAATACATATAAAGCACGTAGAACAGTTGTGCTGGCTCATTGTTATGCTGAGATATGAAATGTGAGTAGACATTAACAAGAAGAAAATTGGAGGGTTGAAGGTTGTTCCAGGCGGGAGTAAACTGTGGAAGGACATAGGAGCAAGAAAGAGTATTGCAAATTTAAATAGTTCATTAGATAACAGGAAAATTTTACATCATATTAAATGTTTTGAACTTGATCCTAAGGGTAATGATGACTATTGTATGTAAGAGGCACAGCAGAAACATAATAATATTTCATTTCCTCCTTAGAATGATGACTATTTGCAGTGTGGGAAATAGATTGGTATGTCAGACCAGTCACAGTAGTCTGGGTAGAAGATGGTGGTGAAGGGGATGAGGAGAAGTGGATGAATTTGAGAGATATTTAAGTCATGGAATCAATAGAACTTGATTGATTTTATTTATAATGAGTTATGAAAGGAGGAAGGAAGGATCAGTTTTCTGATTCAAATAGCTGGGTATGGAGCTCCCCTAAAAACAGTTTATCAAATTTTTTATTCTATATTGCTTTTAATATATATTTAATCACATCATAGAAATGAGCCACCACTAATTAAACATCATATCTTGTATACCTGTATTAGGGTTCTCTAAAGAAACAAAATTTTTCTAGAGAAATTATCCTATAAACAGGATATCTATATCAATAAAGATCAATAGATATCTAGAAAGAGATTTACAATAAGGAAATGGATCACATGATTATGGAGGCTGGCAAGTCTTAACATCTTCAGAGTGACTTTGTTAGCTGCAGACCCAGGAGAGCAAATGGTTTAGTTCTAGTCCAAGCCCAAAGGCCTGAGAACCAGGAGAGTTGATGGTGTAGTTCCAGTCTGAAGGCCAGCAGACCCAGAAAGAGCTGGTTCAGTTCAAGTCTGAAGGTAAGAAAAAAGCTGATGTTTCAGTTTGGAGGCTGTTAGACAAGAAGAATTCTTTTACTCAGGGAAGGATAGCCTTTTTGGTTTTTTTAAAAAAATTATTTTATTTGTTTATTTATTTAAGATATGGGGTCTTACTCTTGCTCAGGCTGGTCTAGAACTCCTGAGCTCAAGCAGTCTTCTCGCCTGGGCCTCCCAGTGTCTAGAATTACAGGCATGAGCCACCACGCCCGGCCATGCCTTTTTGTTCTAGTCAGACCATTAACCTGATTGGATGAGAACCACATTATGGAGCGTAATCTATTTTACTCATTCTATAGTCTACAGATTTAAAGGTTAATGTCATCCAAAAGCACCCTCACAGAAACATTCAGAATAATGTTTGACCAAATATCTGGGCACCCTGTGGCCCAGTTAAGGTGACACATAAAACTAAGCCTCACAATACCAAACTTTTATTTTCTGGCTAATATTTATCACTTTCTTGGGCTTTTTCACTTCCATTAAGAATACTAGGATTTGGCTTTTAAAATTTTCAGTCCATTTTGACAAAGAAAAAATAACTATCAGCTGGTGAATATCACTATGTACACATTCAGGAATATATAACAGTGAGAAGTATTTGCAGCCTAGCCAAACACAACCACTAATTGAGTGAGCCAACCCTCCCACCTCCATTCCCTGAATGCACATCCATTCAAAGGCATGTATCAACAGTTGGCAGATGCTATTTCACTAATCTATAGAGTCAAGAGTAGTCAAAATCAAGAATGCTAAGGGCCTGCTCCAAGGGATGTTGGTGGAATTCTCCAAATTCATTTTTGACATTTTGAGTTTGAGAGACTTCTGTAAGGTATGTAGGTACCAGATATGCAGAGGGAAATTCAAGTCTGATACTCAAGATACCTGGCCTGAAAAATAAGGAAATCATCAGCATAAAGATAGTAACTTAAGTCACAAACACACTGTAAATTATCCCTTCCTAGTTTCTGCCCTATTTCTCTCTTCCATTCAATGTCTTACTTTTTGAAAGAAGAATTTTTGCTCACTGTCTCCATTTTCCTATTGCACCCTGGCTATTCTCCCCATTTCACTACAAAAATTGTCTTCACAGAGCTGACCAATTGCATCTGTGTTGTGAATCAAGTGAGTATGTCAGGTCTTAGATTAATCCAACTTCTTATAGCATTTCACACTCTTAAGCACTGCTTCCTTATAATTTCACTTATAAATCAATGAATTCCTCCTATTCTTTCCAATTATTATCTCATTTATTTCAAAATCTCTGTGAATTAGATATTATCTTCATTTTACAATTGGGTTAACTAAGCCTTCAAGAGGATAAGTAACTTGCCCCAGGTCAGACAGTTTATAAGTGATGAGGCTGGATTGGAACTCAGGCCTGTCTGAGGCCCAGGCACTTTCTAGCCCTACACACTTACAGAGATAGACCTCCTGGGCCTTCTTTGTACTGTTGTTTTTGTTCTCCTCCTACCTCTCTGGTTGTTGCTTCTCACTTTTCTTCCTTATGTGTAGGTGTTTCCCAGGATTCCAGCCCCACGTAATCTTTTCCCAACTATAACTAACTACCACACTGAACCTACTACACTAAACGTCAAATAGCTCTTATACTTTTCTCTCTGTATGAAAAACCCTCTTCCTATTTCCTTGTCTAACTAACTCACTTGTCTTTTAAGACTCAGGAGAACTCATCTCTGGGAATCCTTTTTTGACCTGCTTCTGGGACTGAGCTGCTTTACCTCTTACAGGTGCTCTGCTAGCATCCTGTGCACACCTTCATTATGGCACTGAAGTGCAATTGCTTATTTACTCAAGATTTCTTGAGAAGCGAGAGCTGTAGAGACCAGGGAGTTGTCTTTTATCTCTGTATTTCCAGTAACTAAGAGAGTCTGGCACGTAATAGACAATTAGTAAATGAGATGAGTTATGAATATTCTTACATTCTTTTAGTTAATTCTGATATTAAGTATAAAGAACATATAATTGGTTATATTTATTTTTTATCTTTTTTCCCTTGAACAATTTGAGAATTTTTAAATCTTAGGGAAAAGTTAAAAGAATAGTATAAGTAATATGTATATACCCATCATATAGCAGCAGTTGTCAACTTCCTGCTACATTTGTGTTCTCTCTCTCTTCACATGCACACATTTTTTCCCTGAAACATTTGAAAGTAGTTTAGTTTGCATCTCTTGAGAATAAAGATATTCTCCTTCATGACCACAAAACTATTATCCCATCTGAGAAAATTCTATATCAAGGGCTAGCAACCTTTTGCTGTAAAAGGCCAGATAGTAGATGCTTTCGGATTTGCAGGTGATATGATCTCTGTGGCAACTACTGAACTCTGCCATTGTAATGCAAAAGCAGATGTAAACAATATCTAAACAAATGAGTGCAGCAGTATTCCAATAAAGGAATAGAAAAACAGGCTTTAGGCTCTATTTAGTCTGCTAGGATATAGTTTGCTTATTCCATTCTGATATATGTTTCATATTCAGATTTCTGAATTCTTCAAAAAATATTGGTAGCTGCTTTTTTTTTAAAAAATGCAAGAGCCAAATTTCACACGTTGCATTTAGTTGTGTCTCCTTAATCTAAATAATAACCTTTCCATACCCTCTTTTCTTTTTTTTTTTTTGAGACAGAGTCTTTCTTTATTTCCCAGGCTAGAGTGAGTGCCATGGCGTCAGCCTAGCTCACAGCAACCTCACACTCCTGGGCTCAAGCGATCCTACTGCTTTAGCCTCCCAAGTAGCTGGGATTACAGGCATGCACCACCATGTCCGACTAATTTGTTCTATATATATATATTAGTTGGCCAATTAATTTCTTTCTATTTATAGTAGACACGGGGTCTCACTCTTGCTCAGGCTGGTTTCGAACTCCTGACCTCTAGTAATCTGCCCTCCTTGGCCTCCCAGAGTTCTAGGATTACAGGCGTGAGTCACCACACCCTGCCCCATATCCTCTTTTTATTCTTATAAACTCGATTATTTGAAAGAGTCTATGCCTGTGGTAGAAGAGCTACATTCTGGGTTTATCTGAAAGTTTCCTCATTATTAGATTCATGTTAAACATTTTTAGTAAAAATGCTACGTGGATGATAGAGCACATGATATCAGTTGTAATGTTGCTAAGTTTGGTCATTTGGTTAAGTTTTCGACTGCCAGAAATCTCCATTTTTTCCCTTTGTAATTAATAAGCAATTAGTATGGTGATTCTTTGAGACTAGGAGAATGCCCTCTTCACCCACTCCTCTCTGGTTTTAGCAACCATTTATGATTCTTGACTGAGTCAGTCATTTTGAGGGCTGCAAAGTGGTGGTTTTTCAATTCTATTATTCCAATTACATTAGTTGCCAATCATGTATAAACCCAAGAAGGGGTTATTGCTATTGTTACTACTAGTATTACTGTTTCTGTGATTCTTGTTATTATATTTTTAGGAGTATCCCTGAGGATACAGTCAAAAGAAAGTTCTCCGAAACAGAGAGAGCATTCTGAAGCTGGGGATGGCAACAGCATTGGTGAGTGCTCATTCCGTGGCTCCCCTGAATCTGAAGAAGGAGGGGCTTCGGGTAGTGAGGGAACAGGGATTCAAGCTGCAAGGAAACAGCAAAGGCCTTGGACAGGAGCCCTTGTGCAAACAATTCAGGAAGTTGCGCTATGAAGAGACTACAGGACCTCAAGAAGCACTGAGCCGGCTGCAGGAGCTCTGCCGACAGTGGCTGCAACCTGAGACCCACACCAAGGAGCAGATCCTAGAACTACTGGTGCTGGAGCAGTTTCTGACCATTGTGCCTAAGGAGCTTCAGGCCCGGTTATTGGAGCATCACCCAGAGAGCGGAGAGGACATGGTTGTTGTTCTGGAGGATTTGCACCTGGAGCTTGGAGAAACAGGACAATAGGTGGTAAGGGTCAGATGTGCTCTTTTGCAGGAAAGCAAGAATTGAGATCTCTTGCCGGACAGGTGAATGTGAACTCACCAGTAGGAGGGAAATTGCTAAGCTTTGGTTCAGTTTCTTTCCATCCTGGCTGTTCATTCCTGTAGGTCTTACCTCAACCTTGCCTATCCTCTCCCGGATGGAAACTGTGCTCCAGATTCTGCAACCACTTTTCTCTGCCCCTCTGGGGTTTCTCTTTGTTCTTTTTTCTGACATTTGTTTTTCTGAGCAGCAGTTTACTAAACCTTCATGTGCCTAATTGTCCCTACATGTACTTAATTGTCCCTAGGACTTAGACCAGGAAAAGAAACAAAAACTGCTTATGGAGGAGTCAGCCCCTTTAAAAACTGTGCAAGAGCAGCAGGTTTAGCATGAGGGTGAAGTTTCAAAGCCTGAGAAAGAGAAGGGTAAGAACTGAATTGCATCTTCTTTTGTGTGAGATGCGGTGTGGGCTGTGTGGTTCCTCCTGAGGCCCTGCTGAGCATCCTTGTGTTTTGTTTTTGTTTTGGGTCAGGTTTATTGAAGTATAATTTACATACAGTAAAATTCACTCTTTTTAATTGTACATATCAATGCATATTCACAAATGTGAATTAATTATGGTTGGTCTTCAAGATGTAAAAGATTTCTATCACCCCAAACGTTTTAGCTGGACAAAACACCAAGGAAAGGGTACAAAGGGAATCTGAACCTTCACCTGCTCTTTTCTCCTCAGTGTAGGGACAAATAAAAAAAGTAGTGCTAGTTTCTCACCCAAGGCAAAGAATCCCAGCCACATGCTTCATTACCCATTTTTTCTTACCTCCTTCAAATTATTGTAAATGGCTACTGTCTTTTATTTCTAAATGTCACTTGGATTTCTTTTTTTGTTCTACTATATTTTGTTTGTCACTGAAATTCCTCTTTCTAATTTCTGTTCCTTACATTTTTTTTCTTCTTTCTAGCCTGATATAATCCCTACTTTTCTCTTTGTCTCTCCCCCCTCTTTTTTTTTTTTTTTTTTGCTTTGGTGTCACCTTGGTGCTTCCATTAAAGTTAAGTTACCTCCTGTTCTATCTCCATCATTTAAATGCAAATTTTTCAGTGTTTCTCCATTCCTTAAAACCCTTCAGGGAGTTGGGTATTGTTATTCTTTCTACTTTTTTTTGATGTTTGAAAAATTCCATAATAAAAAGTAAAAAGTAAGAAAAAAAGCACCACCTTCATTGACTCTCAGTAGCCTTTAACACACAGGCTCACAGGGCATGTTCTGTTGTGTGTTTACATCTCAGCCTCATGTTTTCTTGAGAAAACATGTCTTCTCAAGTCTTAGTTTTCTTGAGAATTTTAGCACTGACAGTTCCATGTCCTGGGAACTTCCTCAGTCCTCCCAGACAAATTGGGACAGGTAGTCACACTATGTCCCACCTGCTCACACTGTGTATTCCCACGATGCCAAGATACATTCCATTTTCTCCTTGCTATTTCTATTTCTCTCTTTTGAATCTCTCCTGACCTGTTTCTTCTATCTGGAATATGTTTTTCTTACTCTCCCTGACTAATTCCTACTCATCCTTCAGGACTTATTTTAGATATCACTTTCTCTACCCTTACCTAAGTCTCCCAAGTCTGAGTTAGTTTCCCCATTTATGCTCCTAGAGCTCCAAGATTTCTTCTGTTGCAGAACTAATCACATTATAGTGTAGTTATTAACTAGTTTACTTCTCTTTTTCTCCTGCCAGATTAAAAGGACAGGAGCTTTGTCTTGTTTCCTGAGTCTGCTTTAGTCCCTGGCCTAGAGTAGATACTCAATAAATGTTTACTTGATGAATTGCTGATTTTATGTCTAAAGCCATGCTTTATATTCTGCCTACTTCCTTGTTCAATTTCCAAGTCTGCTTCAAAAGTCCCCTTCTTCTGTGAGCCTTCTGAGTAAAGAAGCTGAAAGAAAGGGGCCTATCTTTTCTCAGTAGCCTTGTAGAAATGAACTTAAGCCATGTAATCAAGGACAGGTATGTATTTTAATGAATATAATGACTAGGTTTTTTTTTTGTTTTTTTGTGGGTTTTTTTTGAGACAGAGTCTCATTCTGTTGCCCTGGATAGAGTGCCATGGCATCAGCCTAGCTCATAGCAACCTCAAACTCCTGGGCTCAAGTGCTCCTTCTGCCTCAGCCTCCCAAGTAGCTGGGACTACAGGCATGCGCCACCATGCCCAGCTAATTGTTTCTATTTTTGGTAGAAATAAGGTCTCACTCTTGCTCAGGCTGGTCTCAAACTCCTGAGCTCAAAGGATCCACCTACCTGCCTCAGCCTCCCAGAGTGCTAGGATTACAGATGTGAGCCACAGTACCCGGCCATAGATTCTTGAAAATGTTCTTTACCCCCTGGATTTGTTTAAAGTGTTATTTTATATTTAAAGTTAAGGTTGTTTTTTAATTTCAACCCTTCTCCCTCCTTTTAGTTATATATGCCATTACATTATTATTGGAAAAGAATCTCTTATTCTGTTCTCTTAATCTCTTACTTCCTGCCCTAATTGTAGGCTACTTCATTCTGTTGCAGAGGGCCTTTACACAGTTTATTATTTGCATTATGTAATCTCGCTACTCCCCACGTGTGACTTTACTTTTCTGATATCTCTTTACTAATCCCTTCACTTTCACTTTTACTTTTGGCTGTCATCCACTCTCTCCTTTTTAATTATCTGCTGACTTTATCTTTCTCATACTGATTAACCCTCATTTGTATGTTAATGTTGCTTCATAAAGTCTCTGTCATCTATTTTCTTTCCCCAGCTTCCTTTTACTCTCTCATTCTGACTTTGCATCTCCATTCATGCTCCTAGCCTTTAAAGACTTATCCAATCTGCCCATCCTTCTCACCCTTCTGCTTGTGTGTCTGAGCTTAAGTTTTTCTTCATCTTCTTTTACTTTCACCCTGAAGACACAGGCCACTTATTTAGCATACATTTGTTTAGTTTCTGTTTTGTACTAGTCACTGAGCTAGAGAAAACAAAGTCTACTCTGCATGTGCTTATAGTCTCTTGGAGGAACATTGGAGTTTGAGGGGGGAGAAACAGACTAACGAACAAATTATTACAGCATTGAGATAGAAAAGATATGTTGAACCCCTGAGGAAAGCAGTTACTGCTGTCTAAAGAGATTGGGAAAGGCCAAGGCATTTTTGTCAACTTCATGTTACTCTCAAGGTCTTATGATCCAATGTTTTTAATTTATTGATGAGAACACTGAGCCCAGAAGATTTAAATTACCTTTCTAAGATTATACAGTTAGTGATAAAATTGGTACCACATCTACATTTCTTAGTTAAAATGCTATCCCTTTTTTATTAGCTCAGGGTCCTCAATTAACCTATATTTTTTATTTTCCATGTGACAAATCATTTTCACAAGTATACAGTCATGCCCTTTAAGACAATTGGTTTGCTTGCTTTCTAGCTTTTCTGTGTGTGGTGTGTATCACTTGATAAAATTTAAGCCATTTAAAATAAGTTACCTCCCTCCACAATCCCCCATCCTTTCCCAAAAGCAATCACAGTTAACAACTTCTTGTGTATCACTTCATATATATTTTATGCAAACACAAGCATCCAGAACATTTTTAGTTTGCATACATGTCTTTTTTTTTATTTTTTATTTTTTAAATTTTTTTGAGACAGAGTCTCGCTTTGTTGCCCAGGCTAGAGTGAGTATCATGGCGTCAGCCTAGCTCACAGCAACCTCAAACTCCTGGGCTCAAGCGATCCTCCTGCCTCAGCCTCCCAAGTAGCTGGGACTATAGGCATGCACCACCATGCCCGGCTAATTTTTTCTATATATATGTTAGTTGGCCTATTAATTTCTTTCTATTTATAGTAGAGACGGGGTCTCACTCTTGCTCAGGCTGGTTTCGAACTCCTGGCCTCGAGCAATCTGCCCACCTCGGCCTCCCAGAGTGCTAAGATTACAGGAGTGAGCCACCGTGCCCAGCCTGCATACATGTCTTGATTTAAATTTTTCCTCTTAGTAGATTCCTTTCCCTAAGCATTGAAAAACAAGTAATTGGTGTTATATATTTAATGTTTTAGGTGAGGAGACAAGGATTGAGAATGGGAAGCTTGTTGTAGTGACAGACTCTTGTGGAAGAGGTGAATCATCTGGCAAAATCTCTGAACCCATGGAAGCTTATTATGAGGAGTCTAACTTAGAAAGGCAGCCGGCCAAGCCTAAGGAGACAGACTACAAATGCTCAGAATGTGGAGAGGGATTCATCCAGCACTTGGACCTGATTGAACATGAGAGTGTACACACAAGAGAGAAGCTCTGTGAATCTGAAGCTTGTCAGAATTCTGGCCTTACTGGACATCAGAAAATCCTCTCCAGAGAGAAAGGTCATCAGTGTCATGAGTGTGGGAAAGCCTTTCAGAGGAGTTCACACCTTGTCAGACATCAGAAAATTCATCTTGGTGAGAAGCCTTATCAGTGCAAGGAGTGTGGAAAAGTCTTTAGCCAGAATGCAGGCCTTTTGGAGCATCTCAGAATCCATACTGGGGAGAAACCTTATCTATGTATCCATTGTGGAAAGAACTTTAGGCGTAGCTCTCATCTTAATCGACACCAGAGAATTCACAGTCAGGAGGAACCCTGTGAGTGCAAGGAGTGTGGAAAAACCTTTAGTCAGGCTCTACTCCTTACCCATCATCAGAGAATCCATAGTCATTCTAAAAATCATCAATGTAATGAATGTGGGAAAGCCTTCAGTTTGACCTCAGACCTTATTCGACACCACAGGATTCACACTGGAGAAAAACCTTTCAAGTGTAACATATGCCATAAAGCCTTCCGACTGAACTCGCACCTCACTCAGCATGTAAGAATCCACAATGAAGAAAAACCCTATGAGTGTAATAAATGTGGAGAAGCCTTCAGGCAGAGATCAGGTCTTTTTCAACATCAGAGATATCACCATAAAGACAAACTGGCTTGATGAGGTGTTTTCTCCTTGTAGAACTTCAGCCAGGGCACATTGACAAGCAAACAGCACTTTAAGAAAAGTCACTCTAGCCAATGTTGTCATCAGAGCATTCTTGGAGGCAAAATTGGAAGCCGTCTGCCTCCATTCTCTACCCTTTATGTTCCTTGAAATCAATTTTGGACAATAGTAATTTTACCCTAGATGGGACTGTGAGATCAAAGTTAACCACCATTCTTCAGTGCAAGACTTCAGAGCTTTTAACATAATAAATGCATAATTATGCATCTCTAAGCAGTAGAGAGCCTCATGACTGAGTGAAGGCTTTAAGTCAGTAATGAATCAAGAGTTCACAGATTATAGACTTAAGAAAAACAAGGGCAGGTTGATATTTTTGCATATGCTATAGTAACAGACTCCTATAGAATAATGATGTTTGGAAATATACTACTCTCAAAAGTGTGTCTAAAAGTACAGGTTAATGAGAGCATTTTCCCCCATTGGCTTCACACCATTCCTCCCACTGACCTTACTCTCATGCTGCCTCACCTAAAATCAGTGGAAACATTTTAGAAAGCAAAGATGATCTTTTGCTGGTTAACTAAGAACTTGCCTTCTTGGTTAGCTTTAGGTAGCTTTACCATTTCCTATCCTCATCCCCACCACATTATCTTATGATTCAAGTTATAAATCAAAGTTTACTTAGACTATGGAAGAGATTTCATGAGTCATTCGAATGAACTGTGCTAAATTAATCCAAGTAGCAACTGTCTTACTTGACAACTCCAATGCCAGTATAATGGCTGCTGCATGGACACTATTCAATAAATGTCCAGTGAAAGAAATTGGACTTTTTTTCTTTTAATATTGATACAATTTAAAAATATTGCTTGTTCTGGAATTCTTTGAAAGCTAAAACAATTAAGTCAGCTTGGAGAGGAGATCATGATCTTTATATTATGAATACCAGAATATCATGGTAATGATGAGGAATATTAAACTTAAGAGGCCAGGCGCGGTGGCTCACACCTGTAATCCTGGCACTCTGGGAGGCCGGGGTGGGCAGATCATTTGAGCTCAGGAATTTGAGACCAGCCTTAGCAAGAGTGAGACCCTGTCTCTACCAAAAATAGAAATAATTAGCTGGGTATGGTGGCGTATGCCTGTAGTCCCAGCTACTCAGGAGGCTGAGGCACTTGAGCCTAGGAGTTTGAGGCTTGTGAGCTAGGCTGATGCCATGGCACTCTAGTTGGGGCAACAGAGTGAGACTCTGTCTCTAAAAAAAAAGGACAAAAACTTAAGAGAGTCCACTCCAAAACATATCACCAGGATGATAACCATCATTTACTGATTGGTAACCATCACTGCATAGGGTACTGCTGTCTGGAGAAGACTTCTTAGTCTGCCAGTGTGGGAAGATTGGTGAACTCTCATGTAGTGATTAGGACTAGGTTTGGCACATGTAGTTTAAAAACAACAACAGCAAAATAGAAATGACTTCATAAAAGTTTATTTTTCTTTCCAATAGAAAATGCAGAGATAATAAGTCTGTCCTTGATGACTGCGAAAGCTTCAGCCATCACATGTAAAATGTGGACAAAAGGCAGGATAAAAAGAAGTTCCTCCCAATTCAGTCAGCTCCCTTTGAGCAGCCTCTCCAAGAATGTCTTAGCACATATGTCATAGGCCAAAACTTAGGAAAGGAAGGCTAGAAAGTGAGCCTTATTCTGGGTTGTAGAGTACCCAGCTGAAAATTAGGCTTCTGTCACTAAGGGTAGAGGGGAGAATGAATGTTGGATTAGGCAGTTAGCAATTAAAAGATTTCATGTAAAGTCAATCATATAGTCTGTTGTTAGAAAGTCATAAAACTATGTATGTTTTACTCTGCCTTTTGACTAAAGTTAAATTGATAGCAGGAATTTTTCCCCCAAGTATTTTGAGGGCTATGCTGTGAGGTCAGTACCTAAACATTTAGCTCTGTGTCATAGTTTAAAACTGTTTGACCTTGTGCAGTTTAAAAAGGAAAGTACATAGAATATCTTTATTATTCTTATGAAAATGAAAAGATTCCTCATATGAAGAACTATATACCCTTAGTTATCTGGAAAATTTATCTTGGCTCTCTCTATGATGATTATATAGAACAGGTATAAACATGATATATTCATTGACACCAGGAATAACCTAATTCTTACAGCTCCAAAAGAAATGGTGTTCTTGTCGTTCTACTTAGGGGAGACCCATATTTACCTGGGCATAAATGTCAGAGGTATATTTAAATAATATGCTTTCCTTCTCAAAAGTCATAGAAAAATTGAGCAAAGGGCAAGTATCATAACAAATCTCAATTAAGGTTTCGCTTGCAGTGTAAGACACCTTAGTCACCCTAAAAGGTAAATTAAGAATCTATTCAGAAGACAGGAACCAGAAGGAATGTATTGCAGTAATATCTTCTGATCAGGCATTTCTGTTTGGGTGGCATCCTTATATCCAAATGTAGAGTGGAATGGAAAGCCTCTGTATCTCCATTTCTCTCTCTCCTGTTTAAAAAACTGATAAAGTTATTACATAGCCTGCAATTATAAAAGTATTATAGTATGAAAAAATAAGGGAAAAAAACATACTAATTGTCCATGTTATACTATCTTCATACATTCTTATTAAATTTTTTCTATGATAGAAACTCATTGTAAAGAAAACTTGAAAAATATAAAAAATAAATCACCTCATTTCATGGTCTAGATATAACTTCTTGTATGTTTTGAGATCCTATTCTTTTTTTGCACATAGAAACACTTTGCTTTTCTCACTAAACTTCAATTCTATCATGAACAGTTTTCATTTGTAGCAGACAGGACAGTCAATTTGCCTATCTGCACACCCCTTTCTACTCCAGTCCTGCCATGATCCTGAGTGGGCAGCCTGTGTGTGACCATTCCCTGACTACTGATGCTTGAATAAAGAGGGAACCCCCTAAGCAAGGCTTAGCCATTTAGATACCCATGGGAATTTGACACTGGATCACAGGTTGTGTTGGTCTTTATTAGTCATTTTAACCAAAATGTAATATAGAGCTGGAATTTTTGTGGCCACATAACCAAATAGAAACAAATGGAGAAGCAAAAGAATGAAGCCAACTCCTGAAGCAGAGATCCCACAAGGGCCCAGAGAGATTTGGGAGTAGCAACCTCAGGCCTCAGCTTCTGAGATCCATCTACATCCTGGTCTTGGGAGTCCCTGGAATACTCACTCCTGTTTTCTTCCAATAAAGGTTTCTTTTTAAGTTAGTTTGACTGGGTTTCAGAACAAACAAACATCCCTGTTTAAGATACTGAGATCGTTAACAGTCTGCATGGAAGATAATTTTCTAGATAAGCTGCACAATATTCTATAGTACATGTCCCTATTTTTAGTCATTTAAGTCATTTACAGTTCTGAAATGCTCCAAAATCTGAAACTTTTTGAGCACTGACATGGCGCCACAAGTGGGAAATTTCATACCTTACTTCATGTTACAGTTAAAAGGCAGTCAAAACTTTGGGGTTTTTTTGCTTTCTGTTTTTGAGACAGAATCTCACTCTGTTGCCTGGGCTAGAGTGCAGTGGCATCAGCCTAGCTCACAGCAACCTCAAACTCCTAGGTTTAAGTGATCATCCTGCCTCAGCCTCCCAAGTAGCTGGGACTACAGGCATGCACCACTATGCCTGGCTAATTTTTTATCTATGTATTTTTAGTTGGCTAATTAATTTCTTTCTATTTTTAATAGAGACAGGTTTCACTTTTGCTCAGGCTGGTTTTGAACTCCCAACCTTCACCAATCCACCCAGCTTGGCCTCCCAGAGTGCTAGGATTACAGGTGTGAGCCACTGCACCCGGCCCAAAACTTTGTTTCATGCATAAAATTATTTAAAATATTGTATAAAATTGTCTTCAGGCTATGTGTATAGATGATGGTATATACAAAACATAATGAATTTCATGTTTAGATTTGGGTCCCATGCCCAAACTATTTCATTATATGTATGAAAATAATCCAAAATCCAAAAAAATGTGAAATCCAATACACTTCTGGTCCCAAGCATTTTGGATAAGGGATCCTGAACCTATAGTTGAAATCATGCAGTATGTAGCCTTTACATAATGGCTTCTTTCCACTTAGTAATATGCATTTAAGTTTCCTCCATGTCTTTTCATGGCTTGATAGCTCATTTCTTTTTAGCACTGAGTAATATTCCATTGTCTCAATATACCACAGCGAAAGATATGTCTGTTAAAGAAATATCCAAAATATAGAAAGAACTCAAAACTCAACAAGAAAACATCTAAAAAGTAAGCCAAAGACCTTAACAGACTTCATTAAAGAAGGTATATACATGGCAAATAAGCATATGAAAAAAATTCATACCTCCTATGTCATCAGGGAAATGCAAATTAAAACAACAATGATACCTCTACACATCTACTACAATGGCCAGATGCTGGTGAGGATGTGGAGCAACAGGAACTCTCATTCATTGCTGGTGGGAATGCAATTATAGTACAGTCACTTCGTATGATAGTTTGGCGGTTTCTTACAAAATAAACATAGTCTTACCATATAATCCAGCAATCTCCCTCTTTGGTGTTTACCCAAAAGAGCTGAAAACTTATGTCCACACAAAAACGTGAACATGAATGTTTATAGAATTTTATTCATAATTGCCAAGACTCAGAATAAAACAAGATGTCCTTCAGCAGGTGAATGGATAAATACTGGGTCTGTTTTTAAAACGGCATTTTATATTTTTACTATTGAATTGAACATATTTTCCCATGTTAATTGGTCATTTAAGATCTTGTTTTTGTGAATAACCATGTTCACTTCCATTATTGATTTTTTTCTAGTACAATCTCCTTTTATTTTAGACAGAAGTGCCTTAAAAATTAATAAGGAACTGCACATCAAAATTTTGAATGCCCATATCCTTTGACTGATCAGTTCTAATAATGTATGGCATTTGTCCTAGAAATATACTCATAAAAGAATGTAAAGGTATTGAATAGTGTTTCTTACAGCATTGCTTTTAAAGAAAAAATATGGCCTAAGGGATAGTTAACTAAATTATGGTACACTCATACAATAGAATACTATATAGTTGTTAAAGAATAAGTTAATATGGAGATATCTCCAAGCTGTCTTAACTGAAAAGAGCTAAGGTGCAAAATTATATTGTGACCTCATAATTGTTTTAAAATACACAAACTTATTCACTAAACAAAATGTTTATTGAGTGCTACTATATAGCAGGTAATGTCGCTGGAAGATATACACAAAATATTAACAATGGTTAACTCTAAGTGTGTAAGGACACTTTTCATTTTATAGTCTTTATGCAGCTTGAGTTTTTATTGTGCATATATAACCTGTATAGTTAAAGAAAATAAGTGGTACTGCTTGCTGTATTGTAATTATTTATTGATCTGTCTCTCCCACCAGCCTGTGATAACCCCAGACAGAGATGCGGCTTTGTCTTCACCATTCTGTGCCTTGTAATTGAAATGATTTACATAAATGTGGAGCGTGTGCGCCAACCGGATGGGCCTGGGGTCTGGCAGGCGGGGGAGAAGCGCCTGGTTCGGGCGGGAGGTGGCAGAGGGGGTCCTCCCGGGGCACCAGAGAGACGAGCAGCTGCGCTCCTAGAGAGGCACGGAACTGGCCGGACACCGCGCTGAGCTGCCCCGCGGCGACAGGCGAAGCCCTCGGCCCCCGCCCGCCTACGGGAAGAGCTGGCGAGACCCGGGCGCGCCCACGGTCGGGGCTCTGAGGAGGCGGCCGGCACACCCGACTGTGGAGCCCTGGGCCACTTCGCTCCCATGGGAGCCTTTCACGAGGTCGGCCACGTCTTTATTGTGCACTGTCCCTGAACTTTTGGTCTGTTAAACAACACTTAGACATTGAGTGCCCACTGTGAGACAAGCGCTGTGCTAGTTCCTGGGATGTGATCTCAGTCAGATACGTTCTGGCCCCGCCGGACTGTCCTGCTGCTGGCGTCTCAGGTACGTCTGCGCGCATTCATCAAGAAGCCCATCAGTATTTGTTGAATACCAGGTACGTACCGCGCTTACAGAGTCTATGCAGAGATAAACCCTCGTCCTCAATAAGCAGGGGTGGGGGGGTCTGTAATACAAGATTGGGTGGTGGTGCAGTTGTCCGTGGTAACACCCCATTTCCACCTATGTGGCTTACAGGACAGAACATTCTTCCCTGGCTCTGCATTAATTTTGGGGTTGGCGAGGGAAGGTTTTACATAGGTAATTTGCTCTGGGTCTTGGGAAGTTACAGTTAGAAGGGCAGTCCTGGCTGTAAAGTATAAAGTGAATAGAAATATTTGAGTACTCAGCATGGCAGTGACATGAGGAATTTAGGAAGACTATGGCTTTCTGGAAGGTAGGAAGTGTGTCTTTTATTCTAGAGTTAGTTTTATGCCTGGAAAATAATGAGGTGCTCCGTAAATCTTTATTGAGTAACAAACAAACCAGTAAAATCCAGTAAAGATCAGTTCCTGAGGAGTTTGAATTTAGTTCAATGAGGATTAATTAAAACTCATTTTTTGGAGGTTTGTTGAATATAGTAAGAATTGTGCTTTAGGAAATATTAATCCAATGACAATGGGTGGTGGTGGGGGGAAGTTGGACAGGAATACCCCGCAGAAAATTATTGTAATAGTGAATGAAAATGGTAATAAAGGAATAAAAAGAAAGGCATAGCTGCAAGAGACATTTTGAAGAATTGACTGCACTCAGAGTTGATTGTATATAAAGGCTGATTTTAAGACTGAATGCATGGGCCGGGCGCGGTGGCTCACGCCTGTAATCCTAGCTCTTGGGAGGCCGAGGCGGGCGGATTGCTCAAGGTCAGGAGTTCAAAACCAGCCTGAGCAAGAGCGAGACCCCGTCTCTACTATAAATAGAAAGAAATTAATTGGCCAACTGATATATATATAAAAAATTAGCCGGGCATGGTGGCGCATGCCTGTAGTCCCAGCTACTCGGGAGGCTGAGGCAGAAGGATCGCTCGAGCCCAGGAGTTTGAGGTTGCTGTGAGCTAGGCTGACGCCACGGCACTCACTCTAGCCTGGACAACAAAGCGAGACTCTGTCTCAAAAAAAAAAAAAAAAAAAAAAGACTGAATGCATGGAATGATGATGATGCCAGTAGAAATGGAGAAATACAGAGTGAGTGCAGTTTTGAGAGTCTCTGATTTTAGTTTGGGCTGTGTTGAAATTATAGTGCAGGAGAGGTCCACAGGTGCTGGCACTTCAAGATGTGGGTTTGGACTGTGAAAGGCAGGTTGGAGCCAGATAGCGATTTGAGTCTTCTTGGAACAGAGATATATTGAAATTGTGACTAATGAGATCACAAAAGGAGAAAGTAAGTGAAGGGAGAGGAAAAAAGAACGTGATGCGTATATACTTTCAGTTATCTATTGTCACATCAAAAATAAATTAAAACTCTAAATTTAGTGGCTGAAAATAACCTCAGCTGCTTATTTCTCAGGATTCTGTGAGTGACTAGGCAGTTCTATTGCTGATCTCACCCAGAGTTACTCATATAGCTCATATAGCTGTATTCAGCTGAGGAATCATCTGAGCACTAGTCCCAGCTGGGCTTAAGCTTGGGTGTCTTGGTTCTCACCCACAGGACCTCTCTGCATGGCTAGCTTGGGCTTCCTCACAGCATGGCAGTTTTGTGACAGTGTGCCAAAGAGCCACAGGGGCACTTCCTCTTACAGTGTCATTCTGCCGTATTATATTGGTCAAAGCAAGTCATAGGCCAGCACGATTCCAGGGAAGGAAAAATAAACTCCATCTCTTGACAAGAATAGCAGCAAAATCTCATTATAAAAGGTATTTGAGGATGGGAGACTTTGGAAGTGGTCTACCACACCTACATTTAAAGTGGAATATTCAATGAGAGATACACAGACAGATGACCTTTGAGACTGTATTATTTGTTCATGAAGTCAGCCATTTAGCTCAATGGGTAAAATTATCCCTTCTCCCCAGCTAACGTGTAAGCTGCTCAAGCATTCTTATTGTTAACCCTTCTTCCTTCATATCTTACACATCCCTAACCTCTGGGCTCAACTCCTTTAGTGTTCAAGATATGTTTCTGAGGCCAGGCGCGGTGGCTCACGCCTGTAATCCTAGCTCTCTGGGAGGCCGAGGTGGGCGGATTGCTCGAGGTCAGGAGTTCGAAACCAGCCTGAGCAAGAGCGAGACCCCGTCTCTACTATAAAATAGAAATAAATTAATTGGCCAACTAATATATATACAAAAAATTAGCCGGGCATGGTGGCGAATACCTGTAGTCCCAGCTACTTGGGAGGCTGAGGCAGGAGGATTGCTTGAGCCAGGAGTTTGAGGTTGCTATGAGCTAGGCTGACGCCATGGCACTCACTCTAGCCTGGGCAACAAAGCGAAACTCTGTCTCAAAAAAAAAAAAAAAAAAAAAGATATGTTTCTGATTAAATTCACTGATATAGAGGTAAGCAGGTTCAGCTTTTGAGCTTTACCTAGAGCGGGGAAACAAGTATATTGCATAGAGTTTTGAATCTCTTATAATTTGCATATTACTGATCAATTCTTACACCTCAGATGTACATTTGTGAACATAGACCCCAGCTAAGTGAATCTTTTTCTAGCCTCTAAGCTCATCATGTATGAAGCTTTGCCAGGCCCTGCTCTTGAAAATGAAGATGGCTCTGTAAAAGTGAAGGAGGAAGATCCCACCTGGGAGCGGTTGTGCAATGCACAGGAGGGCAGTTCCCACACTCAGGAGCTTTGCCGCTTACGCTTTCGACAGTTCTGCTACCAGGAGGCTTCTGGGCCCCGGGAAGCTCTGGCCCAACTCCGAGAATTTTGCCACCAATGGCTAAGGCCAGAGATGCACACCAAGGAGCAGATCCTGGAATTACTGGTGCTCGAGCAGTTCCTGAGCATCCTGCCCAAGGAGCTCCAGGCGTGTGTGCAGATGTATCCTCTGGAGAGCGGGCAGGAAGTAGTGACGGTGCTGGAGAATCTAGAGACAGGACGTGGAGACACAGGACAGCAGGTAGGAAGAGAATGTATGTGGTGGTATGGGAGAAGAAACGGGGGACATGTATCTGTTAATTTTTAACTTTTTATTTTGAAATACTTTATAAGTTATAGAAGTATTGGGAGAAGTAGTCCTAGTTTCTCGGGAGGCTGAGGTGGGAGGATCACTTGAGTCCAGGAGTTCAAGGCTGCAGTGAGCTGATTGTGCCACTGCGATCAAGCCTGGGTAGCAGAGCGAGACCTTTTTCTGAGATCTAAAAAAATAATAAAATAAAATAAAGAAGTATTGGGATAGTAGTTTAGAGAAATCCTGTGTACTTTTCAGCCAGATTCACCAGTTGTTAACATTTGTTTCATGATGTGCCCACTCCCCCACCCCGTGCACACTCTTGTGCAAATGAGTGCATATTCTCTGTTGCTCTGTGTGCATTTGTATGTATAAACACACACACACACACACAGGTTTTGTTTTTTCTCAAACCATTAGAGAATTAATTGCAGACATTATGTCTCTTTACCTATATTTCTAAAAGATCAAGAATATTCTCTTATATAACCTGAATACGGCAATCAAGTTTAGGGAAATTAAAATTGTTATTGTTATGATACTATCATATAGCACTAGTTTTTATTTAGATTTTGCCATGTTATCCCAATAGTGGTTTTTATGGCAATTTCTCCCCAATCCGGAATACAAGCCAGTATCACATATTGCATTTAGTTGCTGTGACTCTTTATTCTCCATTAATTTGGAATACCTGCTCAGTCTTTCTTTATCGTGACATTGACATTTTTTTTTTTGAGACAGAGTCTCGCTTTTTGACCAGGCAGAGTGAGTACCGTGGCATCAGCCTAGCTCATAGCAACCTCAAACTCCTGGCTCAAGCAATCCTTCTGCCTCAGCCTCCCAAGTAGCTGGGACTACAGGCATGCGCCACCATGCCCGGCTAATTTTCTCTATATATTAGTTGGCCAATTAATTTCTTTCTATTTATAGTAGAGACAGGGTCTTGCTCTTGCTCAGGCTGGTTTCGAACTCCTGAGCTCGAGCAATCCGCCCGCCTCAGCTTCCCAGAGTGCTAGGATTACAGGCGTGAGCCACCGCGCCCGGCTGACATTGACATTTTTGAAGAATATAGGCCAGTCTTTTGGAGAATGTCCCTCAATTTGGGTTTGTCTTGTATTTTCACACGATTAGATCCAGGTTGCACATTTTAGCTAGAGAACCACAAAGGTGATGGTATGTTCTCCTCAGTGCATTGCTTCAGGAGGCTCATGGTGATGGTTTGTCCTACCACTGAGGAGGTTACTGTGGTATCTGTCAGATTTCTTCAGTAGAAGGTGACCATTTTCTCCTTTGTAATTACTAAGTAGTCTATGGGAGACATTTTGAGACAGTGTATATACCTTATTCCTTATTAAACTTTCACCAACTAGTTTAAACATCAATCTGTTTTTTGTTTTTGTTGTTCTGGGCAGGAATCCTTTGCCTGTCTTGTCTGCCTTGTTTGCTGCTGTATCCCCAGCATGTAGAACAGGGCCTGGCTCTTAGTAGGCATGCGGTCCATATTTGCTGAATGAATGAATGTTTCTTCGTTACTTGCTGCTTCTTTAAAGGATTAAATGGAGCTTGCCCTGTATTCCCTTGGGGAAATCCCTAACTGCTAGTTCTCACCAGGATGCCTTTTTGATGTAGATCTTTTGTCCACAGGCCTCTGTCTACATTCAGGAACAGAACATGCACCTAGAGGTGACAGATTATCATGGAGTCTCTTTGGAATGTCAGAACCTCCAGCTTCTGCCTGGTGAAAGTACCCTGAAGTGTGAACCTCCACATCTTCACCAAGAAAACCCCCAAGAAGTGAGTGGTAAGTGCCAGAGGGTGAGTTTAGTGAGAACACTGGGAGCTGGCCATTGATAGGAACTTGTTTATCTGTGTCCTCAAGTTTTTGTATACCTTGTAAAATGATTACTGCAAGCTAAATAACATATCTATCTCCTCACAGTTACCTTTTTGTGTATGTACAGTAAGAATACCTAAGATCTACTTTCTTAGCAAATTTCAAGTATACATTATTACTATAGTCACCATGCTGTACCCTAGGTCTCCAGAACTTATTCATCTTATAACTGCAAGTTTGTACCTTTTGACCAACATCAAGTTTTGTTTTTTTTGTCTAATCCTATATCTAAGCAAACTTTTTAAAACTTATGAAATTGAGCCAGGTGCGGTGGCTCACGCCTGTAATCCTAGCTCTCTGGGAGGCTGAGACAGGCGGATTGCTCAAGGTCAGGAGTTCAAAACCAGCCTGAGCAAGAGCGAGACCCCGTCTCTACTATAAATAGAAAGAAATTAATTGGCCAACTAATACATATATCTAAAAAAAAAAAAAATTAGCCGGGCATGGTGGCACATGCCTGTAGTCCCAGCTACTCGGGAGGCTGAGGCAGAAGGATTGCTTGAGCCCAGGAGTTTGAGGTTGCTGTGAGCTAGGCTGATGCCATGGCACTCACTCTAGCCTGGGCAACAAAGTGAGACTCTGTCTCCAAAAAAAGAAAAAACAAAAACAAACAAAAAAAAAACTTATGAAATTGTAAAATGTTAGAATTCTAAGATCTTCTTTGTTTTGTTTTGTTTAAAAGATAGAGTCTCACTCTGTTGCCCGGGCAACCTCAAACTCCTGGGCTCAAGCAATCCTACTGCCTTAGCTTCCCGAGTAGCTGGGACTTCAGACATGTGCTACCATGCCCAGCTAATTTAATATATATATATTTTTGTTGTTGTTCAGCTAATTTCTTCCTATTTATTTATTTTTTTTAGTAGAGATGGGGTCTTGCTCTTGTTCAGGCTGGTCTCAAACTCTTGAGCTCAAATGATCCGCCCACCTCAGCCTTCGAGAGTGCTAGGATTACAGGCATGAGCCACCACTCCCAGCCTCTACTATGTTTCTATTCTACATTTTTAATTCTGTACCTATGGATGTTTTAAATATTTATTTGATAACTTTCTACAAATTTATCCTTTCCCCCATGGTAACATTTTCCTCAGTATCCTCTCTGCTTCTAATCTTTCAATCATTTTAAATGCAGCTTTAGGTATAAACAGTCTCTCCTCTCCATTTGGAGCTCTCTCACCCTTGTGTAGGGCTTTCTTACTTTCCATATTTGGGCTTCTCCTCTAGATAAAGCATTCCAACTGTTGGTTATATTTCAGCTCTGTGGAGGCCTCTGGCAGTAGGGTAAGCCATGCAAAGAATGCAAAGTCTGTGTGTGCAGATTCATTGAGAGAGCATACGAAAGCACACAGACACTCCTTTTCAAAGAGGAGATCTTAGAACTTTATAGAAGAATATTTTTAACTCTTAAGGGGAGAGGATGCTACCATTTTCCCTCCAGTATTTGTTGAAAGCTATTGCCTCTCTTCCCTGGAAAATACATGTACATAAAAAGTTCTGCACATGATTTCAGGGGATTGGTTTACCAATCACCATATTATTGATCTGTGAATACTGATATTTTGATAGTAAGGACAGAATAAATGGTTCATATAATCAATGATATGAGAACATTAGAGGAAAATAAAATGTATAGGGCTCAGATTATTTGTGATATTTACCTTTGCAGCATAAATAGAATTTGATATTTTCCTATGTACATGGTTGATTGTCCTATTATATTTCTTCAGTTGCAAAAATCCACCCCTGCATGAAGCCCCAATGTTTTACTTATGTGAATAAGTTTATAGGTGGTAAAGAGCTCTACAGTCTTGGGAGTTGGGAAAGTTTTCCCAGAGTGGCGAGCCTAGTATTGAGCCTTGAAGGATGGCAGGATTTGGAGTGGAGCAAAAAGGAGATAAAGCATTCTCATTTACCTTTGAGATTATGAACATATATCTGCTGAAATTGATTTTATTTCCTTTTGATTAGAGAAGAGAGAGGGGTAATGAAGAATGGAGGTGAGTGGTTGTCGGAATAGTGATGGTAACTGACAGATAACAGTGGTCATAGACTATAAGACTGTTTAATGTAAGTGAAGACTTAAAAAACTGCATGAGATGGCTCCTAGAGCTGGACTCCAGCATTCTGGGCAGAGGAGTGTTTTCCCTTGATCCTCTAATCCCCCCATGAAGATGTACCACTGCAGTGGTATGTACGATATGAGAATAAAGATACTCTAAAGATACTCTCTGGTCCTTCAGAAAGTACATCTAGTCATTCTCAAGGCCTTTTTATAACCTCTTATCCCTCCCAAATTTTCTGGAGACTCAGGCTAAGGACTGGCCTGCCTAGTAGTTATAAACCCAGCACATTTCTCCAGGTTACTTAAGACCAGATGAACTGAAGATCAGATTTCCAGGCATAGCTGCATCCCTTCCTCCTATGCTGGTATTTTCAAAAGATAATAAGTCAACCAACATGGCTAAAGGGCAGGGTTTCTTTAGGGAAACATTGAATAGGGGGAATGGGAAGTTAGTTGGGGCCATATTAGAGGTCTTTAAATTGGAACCAAGAAGTTTAGACTTCATCCAACTTGGCTTTGATAAAATTGGGTGTCTTTGAAGCCCTTTTCTAAATCAAAAATATGATTTCCTTTTCTAAATAAAAAATATGATTTTTAGCAGTTCTGCTATTTGTATGTGCATGATATTTCATTCTCACCTGTCATGAGATACTAGATTTATTAATAAAATGAAAACTCTTGAATATTTTTGCCAGTCTCAATTGTAATTGATTCTTAATGTCAGACACATTGTTAAGTGTTTAGATATGTTGGTGGAGAAATAGAAGGGACCTTGAGATATCATCTGATTCATTGCAACTGAACCCCATTTTCTGGCAATGTATAGCAATGTAGTGTTGTTTGTAATGAACTTTCAAATGCTTGAAAACATTTTTTTGCCCCTTTCCCAGGCTTAATTATAAGGGCCTTCTAATGCCTTTTACCTCAGAAGCAAATACAAGGTCTGATCTGATCTTTGCTCTCAAATTTTCTCTTGCCTTTGATCCCTTTCCTCACTGCATTATATCTTTGCCTCCTTCCATTTTCTGTTGCCACCTTCTCCCTTCTCAACTTAGCCCTTTTTCTATCAGCAGATCTGCTTTATTTTATCACTGTGCTCTTTAAGCTGTTTGGTTTGGCATAGTAAAAGTGAATTGAAGAAAGGCTTTTTTTTTCCAGCAAGCTATATTATCTTTAGAAATGAAACAACTGCAATAAAAAGATTCCACAGTGATCCATTGAGTCCAGAACAAAGAAAAGTGATGCTATCTATGTTCTTTGTTATATTTTGGGTTAGAATTACCACATGAGCTCTTCATTTGGTAATTTTGTGCTCCTTGTATTATTGCTTATCTTGAAAAATAATAATACCTTGCATTAAATGGGGTCTTCCACTTTATAGAGGGCTTTTGTGTTCATTATCTCATTTAATCTTCATTAACTCTGTAATGTAGACTGTGTCCTTATTGTACAGATAAGGAATTAGAGATTTAGAGAGGTTGTAACAGGCCCAAGGTCACACAGCTGTAACTGTGGCCCAGTTCTTTTGATATAAAATCCAGTCTATATCTGCATTCTATTTCTCTAGTTAATCTATAAATATATCGAGAGCAAAACACATAGCTTGTACCTCTATTCTTTGCATCAAGTACATTATTGTGCATATTGTCAATGTTCAGTTAAGGTTTGATGCTGATGATTGTTTTGGTTTCTGCAGAATTTAGGCCTTCTCTCTTCCTTCAGGTATCTTGGTTGGCTGTTTTCTGGCCTTTAATTCTCCTGCCCCTGCCCTCTACCTGTCTACTCTGTCTGTGACCTCATTGTCAGGCAACTCCTTTCTCATATTCAGATATTTCAAAGCTATCTCTTTCAGGAAATCCCATCCTCATCCCTAACCATGATTGGACAGTTTAAAGAGGGAACTCTGGCTACTCTAACAATTTTTGAATTCCTAAAGATACAGATGTTCTCCTTATAGTCAGTATTTCAAGGTGAACCTTAAATACAAAAATTAACAAATGAAACATGTCTGACCACAGTGTCTTACAGTCTTATCAATCTAGCTCTGATTTTGTAGTATTTCAGATACTTCTTGGGTTAAGATAGTTTACAAAATTGCCTCCTCTCATTATCCAAGGAACACTGTTTTTGTCTTGAATTTTTGATGCTTAGGCATTAGAGCAATTTTAGGAGGAAAAGAATTTCACATTGTGATATGGTATTTTGGCATCTGAATGATGTAATCTCTGCCTTCATTCTGCATATCTCAGGAGCAGGCCAATGCTTTGCTAGAGGCCAGTAGCCTTGGGCCTCTGCCCTTAGTTTCTGTTAGAACTAGAATTCTTCACTTTCTAAACTTAGCAGGCTGGAGCTGAGCCTTGTGTACCCCTCTCAGGGCTGTAGGAATGCTCCTGTCGTTGTTGTGTGGTAGCTACAGCAGTCCAGATCTCAGTATTGTCCTTCATGGTAGAAAACAGAAAGCATGATATTCTAAGGGTGGTATGAACTGGGGGCCTGGAAGAGCCACTTTGCAGCACCCATCATCCCCCTGTTCCTGGTACTCTGCAACTGAGAGAAGCATTACCTCCCCAAGTTGCAGGACAGGAGGAAGCGAGTCCAGAAAGAAAAGTCACAGCAAAGAAGGACTTCCAGAGGTATGAATCCATGCTCTGCCACCTGCCAACTGTGTGACCTGGGCAAGTTATTTAATAGATCATTCAATTAGTCAGTCAACAATTATCTGTTTGATTTCTGTCCACTTTGGACTCAGCTTTGATCTCTCTGAATCTACCTAAGATAAATGAAGACAATAACTTGGACTTTTATGATTATTGTGAGGATTGGAAATCATCTTTTTAAGTAACCACACAGTGGCTGGCACTGTGCAGTCATCATCACTGGTTTTTTTTTTTTTTTTTTTGAGACAGAGTTTCACTTTGTTGCCCAGGCTAGTGTGAGTGCCATGGCATCGGCCTAGTTCACAGCAACCTCTAACTCCTGGGCTCAAGCAATCTTGCTGCCTCAGCCTCCCCAGTAGCTGGGACTACAGGCATTCGCCACCATGCCCGGCTAATTTTTTGTATATATATTAGTTGGCCAATTAATTTCTTTCTATTTATAGTAGAGACGGGGTCTCGCTCTTGCTCAGGCTGGTTTCGAACTCCTGACCTGGAGCAATCCGCCCGCCTCGGCCTCCCAGAGTGCTAGGATTACAGGCGTGAGCCACCGCGCCCGGCCATCTCTTCTCTTTATTTTTGCATCTTTATTTCCTTTCCTCTCTCTTCATCTTCCTCTTTTCTGCTTTCCTGTTTCCCCTTTGCCTTATCTCTCTCCTGTTTTTTCTTTCATTGCTCCATTCTCTGCTTGATCTTTCCTTTATTAAATGTTTCCTCTTCCCCTCTCTTTATTTTCATCTGTGATTTTTAATTTTTCTTTATATGTGTAAAAGTGCATCACTGTAAAGCGCCTTCTGAGTTCATAAACCCCACTCAATTTTGTGGGTGGGAGACCCCCGTGGTCTGTCAGGTTAGAATTCCTGACAGAATAAAAGCGGTTGTGATGCTCTATCTCAAAGGGCAAGATGTCCATCTTAACTTATGGATGTTTAACAAACATAAGAAATTTGGCCAGGGAGGCTGGATTCCCAACAAAGTGAACTCTTAACCACTTCGGTACGACGCTCACCAGCCGTGAAACCTTGCCCACAGCCGGCACTCATAGTCCCCAGGATAGTTTGTGCTGTGCATTGACAACCAATCCGTTTTGCTCTTGTGTGATGAGGAAAGCTTTAAAGCATTGAAAGCTTGTTTTACTTTACAGGCAGCTTTACTTGTAATGTAAATCAGAATAAGTAACATATATACAGGGTTTTACAGAAACGTAGAAAAAAAAAAAGAATAAGTAACATATATGTTTTTATTATGTTATTTTTAAATGTTCACAATTTTATTTTGATAAATGAAAAATTAGAAAAGTCATATCACGGCTGTCGGCTAAAGTCGCTGTGCACGTTCATCTGTGGCTATCGACTATAGTCGACGCTTATACCGAAGTGGTTAAAGGTCATCACGTCTCACTTAGGACTCTCGTCTCCTCTCTCTACAGGGCCTGTTCCCCAGGGACTAGCCCATCTCCAGGAAGAAAGCCCCAGAGACAAGGCAGCAGTACTTGAGTTTAACCCAGCCAGGTCCCAGGTGAGGAGGGTGCCCAGGCTTGTAGGAACTTCAGTGGTGGCCCTTTCCTCTTTCTGGCCACCTGTTGTTTGCCCTTTTCTTGGCTGACACTTGTCACCCTGAGAGGCTTTCAATCTCTTTGCCTTCATGTTGTCACAGAATATCACACCATGTGTATATCAGCCAAGGAGCTGATACTGATTACATGCCATTGCTTCATTTCATACTATGTTTAAGAGTCACATCCAAATCTCAAGGCATGGGAGTGAGAGGTGGAGTTAGGTCCCTGGTTTCAGAAAGTACCTGCACTCATTTGATGCTGAGTGACTGATGTTTTGTCTTTTGGTGTCTCTGGTTTTTCTCCCCAGCCTGAGACCTTTTCTCACACTCCTTTATGTTCTCAGTGTTTGCCACATATCCAATCAGTCTTTGGTTATGATAATGGAAAAATTCTGTATATCCAAGATAAAACTTCTTGTGAACTCACTCACGGACAATTGAATTTCAGCATGAGTTTTGGTGGGGACAAAACACATCCAAAGAGTATGGCTCTTTGTAGATGTACTAAAATGAGGTCATAATGGATTAAGGTGAGCCCTAAATTCAATGACTGGTATCCTTATAAGAAGCCCATGTGAAGACAGAGAGACACACAGGAGAATGCCACATGACAACTGAGGCAGAGATTCGTCTGATGCATCTACAAGCCAAGGAACACTAAGATTTGCTGACAACCACCAGAAGCTTGGAGAGAGGCAAGGAAGCTCTCCCCTACAGCTTTCAAACAGAGCATGACCCTGTTCATACCTTAATTTTTGAACTTCTAACCTCCAGACAAGTGAGAATAAAATTCTGTTGTTTTAAACCATTTGTGGTACTTTGTTATGAGAGCCCTAGGAAACCAATATAGATTTCAAGACAAATTACAGATTAAAAAGGGGGAGAAAATAAGGAGGTGTGACATTACAGACATGTATCCTTTCACTGCACTCTGCTTTATTGCATTAGCAGATACTACAGTTTTTACAAATTGAAGGTTTGTGGCAACCCTGCGTCAAGCAAGTCTATGGGCATCATTCTTCCAACAGTATGTGCTCACTTCATGTCTGTGTCACATTTTGGTAACTCTTGCAGTATTTTAAATTTTATTATTATTATCATTATCTCTGTTATGGTGATCTGTGAACAGTGGTGATCTTTGATGTTACTATTATAATTGTTTTGGGCATCATGAACCACACCATATAAGACAACAGAATTAATTAACAAATGGGGTGTGTGTGTTCTAACTGATCCATTGACCAGAATCTGTTCCCCCATCTCTCTCCCTCTCCTTGGACCTTCTTATTCCCTAAAACTCAACAATATTGAAATGAGGCTAGTTAATAACCTTCGAAGTGTTAGAGGGTTAATAACCCTCTAAGTCAGGGGTCCTCAAACTTTTTAAACAGGGAGCCAGTTCACTGTCCCTCAGACCATTGGAGGGCCGGACTATAGTTTAAAAAAAACTATGAACAAATTCCTATGTACACTGCACATATTTTATTTTGAAGTAAAAAAACAAATGGGCAAAAACACCCACATGTTTTTGCATATGGCCAGTGGGCCATAGTTTGAGGACGCCTGCTCTAAGTGTTCAAGTAAAAGGAAGACTCTCACATCTCTCACTTTAAATCAAAAGCTATTATAGAAATGATTAAGCTCAGTGAGGAAGGCATGTACAAAGCTGAGATAAGCCAAAAGATAGGCCTCTTGCACCAAATATCCAAGTTGTGAATGGAAAGGAAAAGTTCTTGAAGGATATTAAAGGTGCTACTCCAGTGAACACACTAATGATAAGAAAGCAAAACAGCATTATAGCTGATATGGAGAAAGTTTGAGTGGTTTGCATAGATCAAACCATCAACATTTCCCTAAACCAAAACCTAATCCATGGCCGGGTGCAGTGACTCATGCCTGTAATCCTAGCACTCTGGGAGGCCGAGGTGGGCAGATCATTTGAGCTCAGGAATTTGAGACCAGCCTGAGAAAGAGCGAGACCCTGTCTTTACCAAAAATAGAAAAAATTAGCCAGGCATGGTGGCGCATGCCTGTAGTCCCAGCTACTTGGGAGGCTGAGACAGAAAGGATCGCTTGAGCCCAGGAATTTGAGGTTGCTGTGAGCTAGGCTGATGCCATGGCACTCTAGCCAGGGCAACAGAGTGAGACTCTCTCAAAAGGAAAAAAAAAGCCTAATCCAGAGCAAGGTCCTAAATTTCTTAAATTCTGTGCAGGCTGAAAGAGGTGAGGAAGCTGCAGAAGAAGAGCTAGCAGAGGTTGGTTCATTATATTTAAGGAAAGAAGCTGTCTTCATAACATAAAAGTGCAAGGTGAAGCAGTAGTTGCTGATGTAGAAGCTACAGCAAGTTATCCAGAAGATCTAGCTAACATCCTTGAGCAATACTAAACAACAGATTTTCCATGCAGATGAAACAGCATTATATTGGAAGAAGATACCACTTAGGACTTTTATAACTAGAGAGAAGTTAACGCCTGACTTTAGAGCTTCAAAGGACAAGTTGACTCTCTTGTTAGGGGTTTATACAGCTGACAACTCTAAGTTAAAGCCAGTGCTCATTTATCATTTTGAAAATCCTAGGGCTCTAAGAATTATGCTAAATCCACTCTGCCTGTGCTCTATAAATGGAGCAACAAAGCCTGGATGACAGCATATTTGTTTAACAGTATGACTTACTGAATATTTCCAGCCCACTGTTGAGACCTATTGCTGAGAAGATTCCTTTCCAAATATTACTGTGCACAGACAATGCACCTAGTTACCTGGTCACACAAGAGCTCTGATAAAGTTATATAAAGAAATTAATGTTGTTTTCTTGCCTGCTAACACAACGTCCATTTTGCAGCCTGTGGATCAAGAAGTAATTTTGACTTTCAAGTCTTATTACTTAAAAATACATTTTATAAGGCTATCGTTGCCATAGTGATTCCTCTGATGGATCTGGGCAAAGTCAACTGAAAACCTGGAAAGGATTCACCATTCTAGATGCCATTAAGAATATTCACGATTCTTGAGAGAAGGCCAAAATATCAACATTAATAGGAGTTTAGAGGAAGTTGATTCCAACCCTCATGGATGACTTCAAAGGGTTCAAGACTCAGTGGAGGAAGTGACTGCAGAAGTGGTAGAAATAGCAAGAGAACTGGAACTAGAAGTGGAGCCTGAAGATGTAACTGAATTTCTTCAATCTCATGATAAAACTTTAATGGATGAAGAGTTGCTTTTCATGGATGAGCAAAGAAAGTGGTTTCTTCTCCTTCCTCTTCTTTTTCTGCCCCCCGCCCCCCACTTTTCAGCAGACCAGACTCGACTGAAAAGAAAGTGGTTTCTTGAGATGGAATTTACTTTTGGTGAAGATGCTGTGAACATTGTTGAAATGACAACCAAGGGTTTAGAATATTACATAAACTTAGTTGATAAAGTGGCAACAGGGTTTGAGAGGTTTGATTCCAGTTTTGAAAGTTCTACTGTGAGTAAAATGCTATCAAACATCATCATATGTTACAGAGTAATCTTTCATGACAGGAAGAATCTATCAATGCAGAAAACTTCACTGTTGTCTTATTTTAAGAAATTGGCACAGCCACCCCAGCCTTTAGCAAGCACCACCCTGATCAGTCAGCAACTGTCCAACATCAAGGCAGGGCTCTCCACTTGCATAAAGATTACAACTCACTGAAGGCTCTGATGGTTGTTAGCAATTTTTAGCAATAAAATATATTTTAATTAAGGTATGTACATTGGTTTTTTTTTTTCCTGAGACAGAGTCTTACTTTGTTGCCCAGGCTAGAGTGAGTGCCGTGTCATCAGCCTAGCTCACAGCAACCTCAAACTTCTGGGCCCAAGCAATCCTCCTACCTCAGCCTCCTGAGTAGCTGGGACTACAGGCATGCGCCACCATGCCTGGCTAATTTTTTCTATATATATTAGTTGACCAATTTATTTCTTTCTATTTATAGTAGAGACAGGGTCTGTCTCGCTCTTGCTCAGGCTGGTTTCGAACTCCTGACCTCGAGCAATCCGCCCACCTGGGCCTCCCAGAGAGCTAGGATTACTGGCATGAGCCACCGCACCCGGCCTACATTGGGTTTTTTTAGACATAATACTCTTGCACACTTATCAGACTACAATATAGTGTAAACATAACTTTTATGTGCACTGGGAAACCAAAAAAATTGTGTGACTCACTTAATTGTGATACTCTATTGCAGAGGTCTGGAACTGAACCCGCACTATCTCCAAGGTATGCCTATATTTAAATGAGGTGGGCTTTTTAGTATTAATGTCAAAATAATTCTCTGTTTGAAGTTTGGGATGGGGTAGTGATACGGTAAAGAGAAAACATATCTTCTGTTTTAAAACTCCCCTCCTTGTCAAAACAGACATTTGCTCTGTTAAAAGACTGAGCACTGTATCCTTTTTCAGGCAATGAGAAAGAGAGCGTAGATTGGGAAATGAAACAAACTATCAAGAGGTTAATAAAAAGCCATTTGGTAGGCCTTTGGAGATAGTGTCATACAAAGATAGAATACCACAGACAACTCCCAAAATAAATAATTTCAGGGTGTGATTTTTCAACCTAGAAATCGTATCATTGCTAGGTTTGAAATATTTTAAAATAATCTTTACTAATGAAATTCAGTGAGATCATTAATGAAATTTAGTGAGATGTCTGCATTTATATTAGGTTCCAAATCTGTTTAAAAGGAGTCTCAAGATTCCTCCATTAGTTATTTGTAATTGGTTTAATTGTATTTGTAGTAGCTGTAATATTGTTTTTCAACCAAATACCTAGTAGAAAATGCTATAAAACATGGTGTAAATAAACTATTGTGACAGTGTCTTTATTCTATGTAAACTTCCTTCTTTGTAATGTTCTTGAATTACCAGCGTTTTTAGTTTCACCCTGTGAAAACTCTGTTATACTTAAGTGTATATTGATTGTAGGTTTGGTTCAGCAGGCCACTTGAAAGTCCTACAGGATGTGGGACAGTTCTTTGTAGTGTGGGACCATCCCACACGTTGCAGGATGTGTAACATCTCTTGCCTCACCTTATGAATGGCATTGGCACAAGGTGGTGGGCATCATTGTTATAACCAAAAATGTTCCCACAAATTTATAGAATGCCCTGAGGGGTTGGTACCACTGGTCTACAGTGTGGTATTCAACACCCTTCACACCTGGATCCCCTAGCCTTACCACAGTGAAAAGTAAGAGGCTATTTTTTTTTTTTTATTTCTTTAGACATCAGTGAAGACTGAGGAAGAAACAGCCCAGGTCCCTGCCCCACAGGAGTGGCCACATCTAAGTCTGGCTCAGAGGAACCTCTGTGGAAACTCAACTCAGGAGAAGGCTGCAAGCCTTGGTCTGATGAGTAAGGATAGGCCTCTGGCTGGTCCCCTGCCTGTGCTCTCCACCCCTGACCCTGAATTGGCCATTGGAAGACCACATTTCCCTCACCCTTTTCTTCCATTCTTCTGGCCTCTGCCTGCTGACTTTTCTCAGCTCTTACCATTTTGTATCCTTTCCAATCACATTTTCTTCTTCTGTTCCTACTCACCCAGCTTAATGATTCTTGTTATCATCTCTGCTCATCCCTCCCTATTCTCTCATTCCCTCAGTGACTCCTCCTTTGTATCCCTTTTTCTTCCCTAGCAAGCCTTCCATTTGACTTGTCATTTCAGATATCCCTTCATACTTGGAAGCCCCATGAACACCTCTGCCTGTTCCTTTCTTCTTTACTTCAGAGGAAGTTCTCTTTACTCTCTGAAAACACTACTGTTCATGTTTAATTTTCTTTAAATGTGCTCTGCCCTGTTGGACCCTCTCCCAGCTGGGCTCTTGTGCCATAATTGACCTTTCTTATCACCTTCCCATACTGTGCAATATTTTGTAGGATTTATGAAACTGTATACCCCTGAGACACCTGTTGATTTGTTGTTTGGTTTAATTTGGAACATCTATTCCTTATCTTGGAGGTTGTTTTTTCAAAATTTATAGATATGACATTCAAATCATTAATGTATTATTTTAGCTGAAGAAATTATAACTAAAGATGGATTGTTTAATGCAAAGCAAGAAACTTCTGAAGAAATGAAACAAGGTTGGGAGGCCTCGGGAATACCCAACAGGTGAGTGACCATGGTCCTGAGTCGGCCAAATCCTGGAGACATAAAAAGAAATCAGAATGAAACTAGAGAAACCAGTTGGTCAAGAGCCTGCTTCCCTGAAATAATAGAGAATGAGTGCCACTGTCACTTCTGTGATCATAGGAGGCCTGATGCCAAGAACAGGACTTATTGAATATTGTCAACATACAATAATTATACAAAACCTTCATTTGGCAGTTTCCTCTAAGAATACTATCCTGACCCAGGGTATCCTGCTTAATCACTCTTCCTGGGCTCCCTTACATACTTATGGAACTGCAGATGAAGAAGCGAGAAGGCAGAGGATGTAGATGAGAACGAAGACTGCAGGTGAAGCTGCTATGACAGTTAAGAAAGAAACATCATCAGAACCAGAAGAGGACTTAGTGAGGACAAGTAGGGTATTTTCAGCCATCATAGGAGGACTCAAATAAGGAATAGATCAAAAGGAATGTAGCTGATAAAGGAAAACTTAATGATAGTAGTGGGCACTTCATAAATGTTGGTTGTGGAAATGAGTTAATATTAACATAGATACTGCTAAAGCAGGGACCAAATCACAAGCAGAGGGTTGGCTTCTGGTGAGGCCATTAACTCTTCAGAGACTTAAGAAAAGAGGAGAAAGGAAATAAGGCAGGATAATTAGGCTAAAGAGCAGAGCAGGGAACAGGACCTTACTGACATTTGCTCATCTTGGGAAAACAGGGAACTAAATCTCAGCTAAATAGAACTATCTTGAAGCTCAAGAAGAGAAGTGAAATTTTTCATCTCTTTCATTAACCTAGTGAGGACTAAGCCAAGCTCCACTAAGGAAGAGAAATAATGTTCAGTAACATAGTGCAGAGGTATAACTGGAGAATAGGAATCTGTTACCGTGCCTGTTGGGGGCATTCAGCACCAGCTAACTGAAACCGTGACTCATGACTCATAGTGCCTATAAGAATAAAGATATCTTATTGTTTCACTTAACAAAAGCCTGAAGGTAGGCTGTTCTAGGTTTGGTGCAGCAGCTCAACCATTATGTCAAAGATCGAGCCCCACCTACACCCTTGCATCCCTCCTCTAGTCCCCTACTGCCACCCTACTTTCTTACCTCACTCACTCTTTTTCCCATTTGCTTCCTCACAATATTGAGGAAATATTAATACACTATATCTCTTGAGATTTTGATTTCAGCAGTGGAAAGGTTCAGTGTCATGACAGGATTCACTGAAGAGGTGGATGGATGTCAGGGAACTCTTTTTTTTCCTGTTCTGGAAGCATTTTATTGTTGCTTCAAGTTTAAGAATTTTCACTAATGACAGAAAATCAACACTTTCAGATAATCTCTTGCATAGCCCTGCTCAGCTTCTGAATTGTGCAGACATGTCAACAAATTTCTCCCGAATACGAACAATCATTCCACCCATGATTGACGAATCAGTCTTAACCTCCAATTTCAATAGTTGGCCTTGACTTAGGAAACTTTTCAGGACTGTTTTTAATTCAGAGAGGCTTCTTCTAAAGGAGATGCAGTGGTCACTGTGCAGAGTACCTCTCCACGGTGGACACTCATCATAGTAGAAAAGGCAAAAATGACTCCTTGGGTGTTGTTTAAGCGGCCTTTTTCAGCAAGCAAATTAATCAGGTTGGACATGAGGGGAGAAAACTTCTTTTGCTGTCATGTCATTGAGGCTTTTCACTTTAACAGAATGTTTCACATAGGGATTCAAAATAGCAGTTCTGGGAGTTCGAGGCTTTGAGATTGCTGTGAAGTAGGCTGACACCACGGCACTCTAGCCTGGGCAACACAGTGAGACTCTGTCTCAAAAAAGGGAAGGAAGGAAGGAAGGAAGGAAGGAAGGAAGGAAGGAAGGAAGGAAGGAAGGAAGGAAAGAAGGAAACTAAAAATAGGAAGAAAAAAAATTAGCCAGGCATGATGGCACAGGCCCATAGACCCAGCTACTTAAGAGGCTAACACAGGAGGATCGCTTGAGCCCAGGAGTTTGAGGTTGCTGTGACCTAGGCTGACTCCACAGCACTTTAGCCCAGGCAACAGAGTAAGACTCTGTGCACCCATCCCTCCCCCCCCCCCAAAAATAGAAGCAACCATTTGGGGTTCCTTCAGGAGTTGTGGTACTCTCAACAGCTCCTTTTCTACTTGTTCCAGCTTATTCTGTTTTGATGCAGCAGAATAAAGAGCAGTGGCGTAGCAACCTTCAACACCATATATCTGAATAGGTGGCCTCACAAGCTTGGCAAATGACCTGACCACAGAGGTACTGAAGCATTGCACCTGACGGGAGAGCCCGGACACTGATGGGACGGCCATCTTCTCTTGGGTGGCTGTAGGTCAAACCCAAGTTGGAAGAGAGAGGGCTCAGGGAACTGTTTATGATGGTTGTGTTGAAAATACATAGACATCGAAGACACCCAGGATAATAAATGCTTTAAGCAAACATATGTAGTGTAAATTATACTAAAATATACTCTTTTCACTGCTTTTTTGCCTCTGTCTTCTAAAACTAGACTAGTTTACTGATAGAACACTAGTAAACAAAATGCAAATATCTAGAAATAAGAAAGAAGTTTGTGTAAAATAATGCTTTTCATCTTAGTAACTTTAGCTTTACTTCCTTGTAAATCTCATAAAAATCAGTTCAAGTGCAATGAGCTGAGTTTCTTTTTTGTTTCTTTCCAGAGCAGTATGTCCACCAGATAAATGTAGAACTAGGAAAAGCTAAGTCCTGCCACGTTCAGAAATTCTGTGAGAGGTGTGAGGATCCCCAGTAAATAACAACCTTCTTCCTTGTCTAAGTTCCAAACCAATTGACGGGGACACAGGAGTAAAACAGATGGTTCTGGAAGCCTCAACTCTATTACTGACAGACACTAGAGTGGATAAAGCAGCTCAGAGGCAGAGCTAAATAGGCTCGTACTAGCAGAGGACAAGTGTGGCAGATATCCCCCTGCACAGTTGTGCCGATGCAACTTGGGGCAAAAGGGAGCATGGGAACCTTCTCCTAAAGAGGACAGAGGGAGGGGCTGCACCATGGATGCCCAGTTCCTTTCCTCAGATTCAACAATTTCTTACACCATGAGAAATTAGTGAGAGGTAGAGGCCAGAAATGTTAAGTCTAGCCAAAGTCCTCCCCATGGAAACATGAGGAGTGAGAAGTAAATAATCCTCTCCTGCCAAAAGATTTAGGCTTTAGTGGATTTCTCATGTATTAAAGAATAACACTGAGGATGTTTTTTTTTCCTTCTATGTTGTCCAGGCTGTATTCAAGCTCCTGGGCTCAAAAATCCTCTGGCCTGAGCCCCCCAAGTAGTTGGGAAAGACTGAGGATTTTTATAACATATGTTCTTTTTTTCTTTCCCAGAGATCATGTACCCCAGATCCCTTATATTCCTGTCCCTACTGAAAGGACAGTTACACATTTGAACACTCTGAAGGACCGTCACCCAGGTGACTTATGGGCCCGGACGCACATTTCATCCGTAGAATATGCTGCAGGAGATATTACCCGAAAAGGGAGAAAAAAAGACAAAGCTCGAGTGAGTGAACTACTACAAGGCCTTGCATTTTCTGGTGACTCAGATGTGGAGGAAGATCATGAGCCTGAGACTCAGCCTGCTCAAAAGAAGCTAAAGGTGTCAAGTGTCCCAGAAAAGAATTGGACCAAAAGAGACATTAAACCCAACTTTCCAAGCTGGTCAGCGCTGGATTCTGGACTTTTGAATCTCAAGAATGAAAAGTTGAACCCAGTAGAGCTCTTTGAATTATTTTTTGATGATGAAACATTCAACTTAATTGTCAGAGAAACCAATAATTATGCTTCTCAGAAAAATGTCAGCTTGGAAGTCACAGTTCAGGAAATGAGGTGTGTGTTTGGTGTTCTGCTTTTGAGTGGATTTGTGAGGCGTCCCAGAAGGGGAATGTACTGGGAAATCCCTGATGCTGATCAGAACTTGGTTAGAGATGCTATCAGAAGGGACAGATTTGAGTTGATTTTCTCATACCTGCACTTTGCAGATAATGGCCATCTAGATCAAAAAGATAAGTTTACAAAACTGAGGCCTCTCATAAAGCAAATGAATAAAAATTTCCTCTTGTATGCTCCCCTAGAAGAATACTATTGCCTTGATAAGTCAATGTGTGAATGCTTTGATAGTGACCAATTCCTGAATGGAAAGCCTATTAGAATTGGCTATAAAATTTGGTGTGGTACAACCACACAGGGTTATCTGGTGTGGTTTGAACCCTATCAAGAAGAATCAAGTATGAAGGCGTATGAAGATCTTGGCCTTGGGTTAGGTGGAAATCTAGTGATGAACTTTGCTGATGTTCTTTTAGAAAGAGGTCAATATCCCTACCACCTGTGTTTTGATAGCTTCTTTACAAGTGTCAAACTAGTGTCAGCCTTGAAGAAGAAGGGAGTGAGGGCAACAGGAATGATTCGTGAGAACAGGACTGAAAAATGCCCCCTTATGAATGCAGAACATATGAAAAAAATGAAGAGGGGGTATTTTGATTTCCGAGTGGAAGAAAATGATGAGATAATTTTGTGTCGTTGGTATGGTGATGGCATTATCAGTCTGTGCTCCAATGCTATAGGCATAGAACCAGTTAGTGAGATAAGTTGTTTTGCTGATGATGAAGAGATCCCTCAGATAAGTCAACCATCCATAGTGAAAGTGTACAGTGAAGGCAAGGAAGGTGTAGCTAAAATGGATCAAATTATTTCCAAATATAGGGTGAAAATAAGAAGCAAGAAATGGTACTCAATTTTGGTGAGCTACATGATTGATGTAGCCATGAACAATGCATGGCAACTACACAGAGCCTGTAACCCAGGTGCCTCTCTAGATGTCTTGGATTTTCGGAGATGTGTTGCGCATTTCTACTTGGAACACAATGCTAATCTGTCAGATGAAGGCAGATAAATGGGCACAATGTAGACATTAACAAGAGATAGCAAAATGATAACTACACATTAGATTGTACCCTTCCAAAGCAAATCTGATGTATGTAGTGAAATTAAGTAATTCAGTAATATTTTAAAAATCAGACATTTATATAGAGTTTCAAAGACCTGTAACAAATAATGTTAAAAATTATCTGTGAAAATGTTGAACTCCAGTGGTACCCTTTCTCTATGTCTAATTTTGTGTCAGACATGTGGGGAAGCATTTCTGTGTTTCATTGACTATTTTATGCATTTAAAGAATGAAATCCAGTATCCAGCCTCTTTTAAAAAAAATTCTCTGGAGAATGCTTTTTATTTTTTGAGACAGGGTCTTGCTTTGTTGTCTAGGATAGAGTGCAGTGGCATCATGATAGCTCAGTGGAACCTCGCACTCCTGGGTTCAGGTGATCCTCCTGCCTCAGCCTCCCGAGTAACTGGGACTACAGGAAAGTGCCACAACACCCAGCTAATTATTCTATATTTAGTAGAGATGGGGTCTCGCTCTTGCTCAGTCTGGTCTCAAACTCCTGAGCTCAGGCAATCCTCCCGCCTCAGCCTTCCAGAGTGCTATGATTACAGGTGTAAGCCACCGCGCCCGGCCGCATATGTTCTAAAGTGAAGGTGTCTTAAGCACTGCCCAGTCATTCTCAAAAGGTCACTTCCACACTTGTTCATGGTGAGGGCCATAGTTAATTCTCTCATGTCTATGCTGGTTAAACTAAACATAGGTGACTCAATCTATACAAAACAAACACAAAAATAAACACAGGCTATGATGGAATGATCGAACAAACAAGAAGCCAAACATGAGAATAAATTCTTTGTCTCCTGAAGGAATCATAGATGTTAATTCTGACTACATATCTTCATTCATTCCATGAATACATATTTCATATGTATCAACTGAGTGAGAAGATGGATAGAGAGAATTTTGATGAGAGGGGAAATGAATAAAAACGGGCCCAAAGATTACTTACATGTCTCCAGCTGGCAGTACTTTCATCTTAGAGGAAATTTTGCTTCTGACTAGTCTTTGGAATGGGGCATGGTTTTGGAGGTTCTTATTTGAACTGGGTCTTTTTCCAGGCTGCAGCTGATTGACTAACAATACCTGCATTGCCCTCAGAAGTAATTATTCCTTCATGATTATGTCCTTTTTATGGAAATGGGCTGGACCCTGAATCAGTAGGTTTCCTTAGAAATTATTATGAGAATTAGGACTAAATCCTCAGAGAAGAGACTTGTGGGACATAGGGCAGGAGGAGAGGAATCAATGTTTCATTAGACCATTTGAGGGCTACAGGGGTGATATTCAAAAGTTGAAAAGAAAAGCACCAATAACTGGTAACTTTACCTTGGCTCAGTAGAGACTGAAGTTTCTCAGACATATTCTGCCCTTCCCACTCCCCACCAACTTGTTTGCTCCATGCCTCTTGTTCTGGCTCTATACCTCCAAGCCTTCTACCTATCTATCTGCCGTCTTGATCCATCAATCTTTCTCTTCTACTTGCCCAACAAGGTCACATCCTCTTCACTTTCTGGGTGACTTTCTCTCACTGAGGTCTGGAGTTCCTCAGGCAGGATGGTCAGCAACTGCTCCAGCGCCAGCAGCTCCAGGTGTCGTCAGGCTACAACCTCTGATGGCAGATCTTGCAGAGATTGCTCAGAGTTACTCAAGGCCCAGGGCAATCATGGTAGCAGAGGTACCCGAAGTGCTCTCTATAGATTTCCTAGTATGAAGGACTCTTTCCTCGAAGTCTGGATTCCTGATTCCATGCTGTAGCCAAGCTGTCTTTATCCACCTTGATTTTTCAAGCCCTTGTCTATACCTCAAGGAACTGACATGGCTACAACTAGGACTTCTCTTGGTTCTCCAGATAGTCCGAGCCTAGAAAATTTAGTAGCAGGTCTATTCTGCCTAAAGTCTGGGATTCAGAAAGACTCCTATTCAGCATCTAGTCTTCAGGGGTAGTCCTCATTTATTAAAAAATGAAATATATAATAAATATATATATGTATATATAAACACACACAGAAGGGATTAGTATCCAAAATACAAAAAATTTCTACCCACTGATAAGGAGAAGTTAAAAGCCCAAAGATACCATTATAAACCCAATGGCTTGGCAAATATTTTTAAGTTTGATAATGGGCAAGGAAATAAGATAATAACCATACTGTGCTGGTGGGAATGTAAATTAGCACAGCCAATTAGAAGGCACTTTAGTAGTTTTAAAATTCTATTAATAAATGCACATATGATGTGATATTTTAATTCTGTCATTCTCCACTGTCTTTGAGAACTGGGATACTTGACATAGGAGTCAAGTGTGGGAGGCTGCTTCTAAAATGTTTCCCAATGATCCCACTTCTTAGTATTCAAGGCCTATATAATCCTCTCCTTAAATTGCTTCTAATTAATAGAATACAGCAATGTTGAGAGAATGTCACTTCTGTGATTAGGTTACAAAAAATTGACTTCTGTCTTCTAGCAGATGCTCTCCCTTGGAGGTTTTGATGAAGCAAGCTGTCATGTTAAAGAGGCCTGCGTGTCAAGGAACTGAACCCCTGTGAACTACCAACTCACAGGAAATACAGAAGACAGAAAAAAATGTTAAACTACACCTCAGAAATACATTCATCAAAATGCATAAAGTGAGCAATTACAGGATGAACACTCTTTTTCCCCCCCTCAAAAAATGCAATGCAATGGGGAAAAAATGAAATGAATGGGAAACCTATAGATTAAAAGAGAGATGTATCAGGCAGATATTCTTTTTGGATATCAGGGGGGATCCTGATTCAAACAAATGTAAAAAAATTATGTTTATAAGAACTAGAAATTTAAAACATCTTTTGCATATGTAATGATAAAGAAATAACTATTAAATTTTTAGGTGATAAAGGTATTATGGTTATGTTTTTAAAGGGTTCTTATTTATTAATGATATATACTGAAATTTTTACAGGTAAAATAATATATCTGGAAGTACAAGGCATGTCACTGCAGTGTTGTTCCAAATAGCGAAAAACAGGATACAACCTCAGTATCTAGCAACAGGAGATTTGCTAAATAAACTATGCTGTCAATTCTAAGTAGGGTAGTTGTTAAAAAGAAATCCAGCGTAGACTGAGAGCTTTGACCTAATACTTTGTAGTTTTGTGGGTATAGAAGGCAAATCAATGATGGAGCAGACTTTGACTCTATCTGAAATGGAGTCAAGGCCAGATGTGGTGGTTCCTGCCAGTAATCTTAAGATTTTTGGAAACCAAGATGGGAGGATCACTTGAGGCCAGGAGTTAGAGACCAACTGCCTAAGCAACATAATGAGAACCCCTTCTCTACAAAAAATAAAAAAATTAGCCCAGGGTGGTGGTCTGGCCTATAGTCCCAGCTACTCAGGAGGCTGATACAGAAGGAACCCTTGAGCCCAGGAGTATCAAGGCTGCAGGGAGCTACCATCCAGCCACTGCACTGGTGGGTTCGGGAAGTGCTGAGCAGGACCTTGCAGAAAAGAAAGAAAAGAAAAGGAAGAAAGAAGGAAGGAAAAGAAAAGAGAAGAGAAGAAAGAAAGAAATGGGATCAAGAACACAGTGGGTGCCTCTGCTGACTACAAGCTTTTTGACTTTGGGAGAGTGACTTAATCTTTTTGTGCCACAATTTCCCCCTCTTTAAAATGGAGTTAATTATCACGTTTAGATCATGTCTGAGGGTTAAATCAGTTAATACATGCTAAGCAACTAGAATTGTGGCGGCCTTATGGTAAGAACTATGGAAGTCTCCCCCAGGTGGGTGGCTCATGCCTGTAATCCTAGCACTCTGGGATACCGAGGCGGGATTGTTCAAGGTCAGGAGTTGCAGACCAGCCTGAGCAAGAGCGAGACCCGTCTCTACTATAAATAGAAAGAAATTAATTGGCTAACTAAAAAAAAAAATATATATATATATATAAATTAGCCAGGCATGGTGGCACATGCTTGTAGTCCCAGCTACTAGGGAGGCTGAGGCAGGAGGATCCCTTGAGCCCAGGAGTTTGAGGTTGCTGTGTGCTAGGCTGACGCCACAGCACTCCAGCCAGTGCAACAGAAGTGAGACTGTGTCTCAAAAAAAAAAAGAACTACGTTAGTCTCTATTATTACTATTTTATTCCTGAAAAGCCAGCATTTATCTAGCCACGGTTCGTGACACCCCAGTCACTCCTGGGCTTAAGCGTGGAGCGGAAGGCGCCGCCCCACTCGCCCCAGGACTCACACTGAGCAGGTCAAGCTCTGACCAGGACTCTTCTATGCCGGTGGTGGTACGTGGGCGAACACCGCACGAGGGACCCACTCCCCCTCCACCGCGGGCGAACACTCCTGCTGCCTCTAGGCGGCTCAGAAATAAACTTCATCTCGTTGACCAAGATGGGGCCCCATTTAGGGCAGAGGCAAGCCGGAGACTCTCTCCTTGCCCCATTCCCCAAACATCCTGAGACCTCTTGGCTCTTCCCTTCCAATTCCTTACCGCCCCCACCCAGCCCCACTCGCCTCACAAATGGATGTCCAGGCTTTACCTGTATTGCCTTACATTCTGAGATCTCTCTCCTTACCCACCTAATCTTCATGGCTTTCCAGAGGGCACAGAGAGGTGAAGTAACTTGTCCACAGTCACACAGCTAGATAGCAACAAACAACAGCTGTGCTATGCCACCAAGTAGCAAACTTGACTGTATCTCCCATTGTCCCACCCCTTCACTTTCCAAGCCCTTTCCCCTCCCACCAGGCTCCAGCTGCTTTCAGAATCGCAGCAATTCAGCACTCATACTCCCCAGCCTGTCACACCCATCCATTAAGATCACATGACATGCAAGATTCTATGCATTTTTTCCTCTTGTGTACCAACAGGTTATCTGCTGCACCCCCTACCCCAGTGTACTTCCACCAGCGACCTCTACATCAACATATAGTCCTTAAACCTGTGCTCCCCACATGGACCCACTGCCTGTCCCACCCTAACAGGAGTGAGATGCCTGTGAAGTGCAGTGGGCAGGTGGGGTGAGGTGAGTTTGGGGAGCTAGGCTGCTCCTGCTCTGGCACAGGCAAATACAGCCAAATCTACAGCCAAACCCCTACCATAGCTACTCATTCAAAATAATTGACACCTATTTATGGGGCATCGCATATGTTTTCTAGATGAGGAAGAAAATAATATTTGTCCAGAGTGTAAAACAAGGTTTTCAGGTATTTAATAGGAAAGATCA